CCTGCACGAGTGTCTATAGCGAGGTAGCGAGCGACGCGCCAGGCGTGCACATATTCGCGCGGCGGTTTAAACGGCCCCTTTAAATCAGAACGCAGGGATCCCCCTTTAACCAGCGTAGCGCGCTGCAAGCGTAAAGCGCACCGCCCCGCTAATAGAAATATGCCAACGCGGGCAGCAACAAAGTCAGGGGTACAGGGAGGCGAGGGAGTGGAGGCCGGTAGCCCGGACCCCACAGAACTGCCGGGAGGTAGCGGTACGAGCGTCACGGGGAAATCGGGGGACAGCGACCCCGACAATTCGGTGATGGCGGGGGACGGTAGCCCCCACACAGCACACTGCAAGAGATTAACGTCTGCAAGCACCGATGTCCATTCTTCTGAATGGATGGCCAGAGACGAAGAGCGAAACGTCGATCATTTGTCAGATAATATTTAATTCTTCGGAGACAAACTAAGTGTACAGAATGGGATTCTGTAAGCTCGGGTCATTATATCCAAACCATTGTGGCTGAAGGTGTTAGCACGTACACATTCGAGCCACGTTGGAGAAGCATGCTCCAGGCAGGCACGCAGCACTCTATCCTGGCCAAACATGCAAGGCGAGATCTAAGCCATAGTCAGCGACTGTTATACCTGTGACGAGCATGCACATGTGGAGCAGTAAGAATCTGTGGGGGACGCGGGCCCCCGGCTCCCCCTCCGGGGGAGGGCTGATCTCGGGAGGGCTGCGGGCTCCGGACTCCTCGCTCGTGTGAGAGCTGCCGCTACTCAACTCCTCGCTCGCGGGCAGAGGGCTACCGCTCTCCGGCTCCTCTCCTCGCCCCTCGGGTCCGCGGGTCCTGTTTGGGGGGCATAGCTCAGGGCTGGCAAGAACAGGGTTGTGTGAGCGACGTCTCCGCTCACGCAACCCCGCGTACCACTCGCACGCGCTGAACCGGGGGTCAGGGGTCAGAGGGCAATGACGTCCTTCGCACACGCCTCGCCACCGAGGGCAGGCAATGGAGATTGTTTAAAGGGCTGCGGAGCGGGGATTTGGAGTTGGGTTTTAGGGCGACACACCAATCGCACGCGCGGGACGGGGGGGTCGGGGGTCAGAGGGCAGGGACGTCACTCGTACACGCGTAGCCGATTGGGGGGGGGTTGTTTTGGAGATGATTTAAAGGGCTGTGGGGGGCGGGATATTCGGGATTGTTGTTAGCCCGCACGCAGCAGGGCGGGAGTCCGGGGTCACAGGACGAAGCGCGCTCTCGCGGAGTCCTTCGGGCGCGGCGTTTCTTCTACCGTGACACCGCGCGCCGACCACACGCGTTACGGCGAGCGCACACACCACCACACCCTTTCCTCGCGCTCGTAGAAACCACACGAGGCTGTTATCGATCACGAACGATTTATTCCCGGCTTGCTCTGCGAGCTACTATTACCAGAATCAGTCCGAGTCAGCAGGGCAGGTCTAACCTATCTCCCGATGGTCTAAACCCGATCTACCTCGTCCCCTTGGAATTAAACTCCCTAGGATCTTACACTAAATCCCAATTCTCTCTTGCGTACTCACGGTTCGGCTCGGATGTACGGGAAGTCGTGGAGAGGCGAGGCTGCACGAAGTCCTCGCCGGGAGCGGGGCCTGGCTGTGCTGAGACTCGTCTCACGGACGATCCAGTGGCCGGCAAGGCGACTACTCTGATCCCTGACTTGAGAAGAACGCGTGACTCCCTTATCCCTACCTTCTCTCGCCTTTTATTGTTCTCTACATCAAAGAGAATTCGGCGCTGATCCGCTGGCCTTCCCGGCCAATCAGGTGGCTCGGATTTCCCGCCACTCTCCCCAGACCGGTGCTCTCTCAGACGTCCGCACTTTTACCTTCTACATCAAAAGGGACGACCGCGGGGCTGCTGCATTGGTGCACAAGCACATTTTCCCAACCAATCAGAGGGCCGGCCCTGTTTTCCCGCCGTTCGTGGCTCCGCCCCCCTACCTGCCTGCTAACCCGTGTGTGTTGTGGGTGTTGTGTGTGTTTTCTACCCGCGGTGGCTCAGCAGCCCCGTCGTGACCACGTGATTACCACCCAAGTCATGGCGCCGCGGTGCAAGTTAACCTCGGGGGAGATCGCCCAATTCCCTGGCCGCAGGAAACCGTGAAGATTAGTCCCATGAGAGGGCTTCTGGGAGAAAACCTGTCGGCCAGGTGACCTCCTCTCGGGGCTCAATGTGTGTGTGTGTGTTCATGTGGGGGCTCTATGTGTGTGTGTGTTCATGTGGGGGCTCTATGTGTTTGTGTGTGTGTGTTCATGTGGGGGCTCTATGTGGGGTGTGTGTGTTCATGTGGGGGCTCTATGTGTGTGTGTGTTCATGTGGGGGCTCTATGTGTGTGTGTGTGTTCATGTGGGTGCTCTATATGTGTGTGTGTTCATGTGGGGGCTCTATGTGGGTGTGTGTTCATGTGGGGGCTCTATGTGGGGTGTGTGTGTGTTCATGTGGGGGCTCTATGTGGGGTATGTGTGTTCATGTGGGGGCTCTATGTGGGTGTGGGTGTGTGTTCATGTGGGGGCTCTATGTGGGGTGTGTGTGTGTGTTCATGTGGGGGCTCTATGTGTGTGTGTTCATGTGAGGGCTCTATGTGTGTGTGTGTTCATGTGGGGGCTCTATGTGTGTGTGTTCATGTGGGGGCTCTATGTGGGGGTGTGTGTGTGTGTTTATGTGGGGGCTCTATGTGGGTGTGTGTGTTCATGTGGGGGCTCTATGTGTGTGTGTGTTCATGTGGGGGCTCTATGTGTGTGTGTGTTCATGTGGGGGCTCTATGTGGGCGTGTGTGTGTTCATGCGGGGGCTCTATGTGTGTGTGTGTTCATGTGGGGGCTCTATGTGGGGGTGTGTGTGTGTTCATGTGGGGGCTCTATGTGGGGGGGGTGTGTTCATGTGGGGGCTCTATGTGTGTGTGTGTTCATGTGGGGGCTCTATGTGTGTGTGTTCATGTGGGGGCTCTATGTGTGTGTGTGTTCATGTGGGGGCTCTATGTGGGTGTGGGTGTGTGTTCATGTGGGGGCTCTATGTGGGGTATGTGTGTTCATGTGGGGGCTCTATGTGGGTGTGTGTTCATGTGGGGGCTCTATGTGGGGTGTGTGTGTGTTCATGTGGGGGCTCTATGTGGGGGTGTGTGTTCATGTGGGGGGCTCTATGTGTGTGTGTGTTCATGTGGGGGCTCTATGTGTGTGTGTGTTCATGTGGGGGCTCTATGTGGGCGTGTGTGTGTGTTCATGTGGGGGCTCTATGTGTGTGTGTGTGTTCATGTGGGGGCTCTATGTGTGTGTGTTCATGTGGGGGCTCTATGTGGGGGTGTGTGTGTGTGTTTATGTGGGGGCTCTATGTGGGTGTGGGTGTTCATGTGGGGACTCTATGTGTGTGTGTGTTCATGTGGGGGCTCTATGTGTGTGTGTGTTCATGTGGGGGCTCTATGTGTGTGTGTGTGTTCATGTGGGGGCTCTATGTGGGTGTGTGTGTGTGTTCATGTGGGGGCTCTATGTGGGTGTGTGTGTGTGTGTTCATGTGGGGGCTCTATGTGTGTGTATTCATGTGGGGGGTGGTGAGGCAAGAGCAGTGTCGGCCCCGTCGCTCGGAGGTGGCGGCGTCGCGGCCACGGCGTCGACAGAACGGCTTCGCTGCTGCGACATCACGAATCCATGACGTTGCACAAGAGACCAACATGACCCTGGCAGATCGTCAACAGGAGCTTTGCAGCAACGTTGGCTGGGATTCTCTGCTGATTGTTGACCACTCAGACTTCTGTGAACTGTCGTCGCTGTGTGCCGAGTCGAAAGTTAAGCAGTGTAAGGCACAGTTTGCGCATCATAGCCAGCCAACCACTACTTAACTTCTATGATGCAACGAGATACATTTATGGTCTTGGTTTATTTCCCCCAATTTGCAACGCCCCTTGACTCAACCTGAGCACCACAGAAACAAACTTGGCAATCCGGTGATCATGGCCTTGTCATGCAGCACTCGTAATCCATCTTTCCACTCTTCGGCGAATGCCAGTAATCTCTGCCTTTCTCCATCCAAAACTCCAACTGACTCCTTGCCATTCCCATAAGCTAATTAGATTCCCTCAGCAGATCCATCTCTTTTATTTCTCTCATCCTCTCATTGATCCTAATCCACTCTCTCTTTACCCACATCTTTGACTCGCTCAGGCTCCAGAGGTTGGTGCCTCTCCCCTGAAAAAATGGGAAGCAATAAAAAGATTAGTGCAGTGTATTTGAACCCATTTCCCGAGTTTTAGTTCCCAGCTACGGTTATCATCAGTGGAGAGTGATATCTGAATATGCCTTGGCCCTCCTCTTCACCAACCCGCACTGACCAGCATGGTGAAGTATGGTCAAACATCTCCCACAACTGACACGGTGTTTAATAGGCTTCATCCCACAGCCGATTGAAAATGCGCTCGCCACAAATTAACCGCAATACTTTGCTGATCTTGCCAAGGAACATAAATCATCACGCAAATTCCAGTCATCCTCGCAGCGGCTTTTGGCTTACCATCAAACAAAGACGGTCACTGCATTGCACGCTTTTAGATGTGCTTTTGCGGCCATCTGGAAAGCTCTTTCGATATTAGGAAGCCACTGGACCTATGCACTTTAAAATCTCGATTTAAAACGAATTTCTTAAGAACTACTTTTTGTGTTTAGCTTGTTGTCCTTCCTCCACACCTCCAATTGGCATGGTTGTCTACGTACGGTGTTAATTAAGTTCAACATACGTACATGCATCACAGAGATAACCACTTCTCCACCAAGCACACAACTATTAACCATAATTACAATGTTAATCTTAACAGCCACAATACTACGAACAATAATAATCCGTTAAATGAGATAACAAAGATAACCAACAAACAGCATCACCCTTTGGTCTTCCATTTTCGTCCTCTTTCGGCACCACAGCATCAACCACATCACAAAATTTATAACACCATGAATATTAACAGCGACAGACCACACCTGCCATTTTTTTCCCTTCACGTTTTTTAATTCAAAATGTACAATATAATACATGTCATTACCAACATCACATTGTGCTGTCAGGGTCACGGGGTGAAACGAATCAATCTTTTAGAACTCCCTCCATCATCAAAGCGTTATATCACACCAAGAAATAACTCCAGAGGATGACACCATGGATTTACTTCTGGAGTCTCTTTGAATTAGAAAGTCTATCTTGACCGACACTACATTGCACTCCGTTCTTTGTAGAAAGTGTCTCCCTGCATGACACACATGAATGTAATACTTTAGCTACGAAGTCTGCATCTTGCCAAATTAAGTTAAACATTGAAACCGATCGTATTATTGCTTTGCGCACTCATGAGCGAACTGAGACCATCAACAACACGCACCTGAGAACCCAGGGTAAATGGGCGACTTCCCAAATTAGAACCCAGCCTCTCAGCAGTGTTGTTGGCTCAGTGTTTAACATGGCCATTACGATTAACCCGAGTTACTAAGCCACCTGTATTGCTCTATACACAGAGTGAACAATGTATGGATACCTAACTCACTCCTGGGAGGTTTGTTCCGTAAAATTAGTTTTCTCTCAATTTCTGTTGATTATTTCAGTGGCACATCTATAAAATGGATCACCCTGTGCTGTTGGAATAAAAACTGGGTTTGCACGACTGCAGTACTGTACGTAGCGTTTACAATTATGAAGTGTTTTCAGGTTACACGACTTGTTCTTGTTTTAAGAATATGGAGTGAAACCTGCAGTACAAGCTGAAAACACATCAATCGAAGCACATCAACAATGATGATGTTAAATTCAGTCGTGAAAAGTCTTAAGCAACTGGATAGGAGTTTTATTCAAAACAATTTGATCAATACATTGGCACATATTAATAATGTCTTTGAAAACGAGGCAATTTTTTCAGGTCGTGGAGGGTTAATGAAGATTATTTTTGCATAAAACTACCACGTCGCCCAACCGAAAAACAAACATGAATCATTGCATTGGCTACGGTTTAACTGAATCTGATAACACATCAGACAGCTATAACAACAGGTTTTCGCGAACTTACAGAAAAAAATCCATTGTGTTGAGATATACTCCGTAACGCATCCCCCATGCAAATGCAGGCAATACATAACCAACATACATGCAGCCCCGTACATAAAGTGAGGGAGGTGTCACGCCAAAGATGACATATGCATGTACCAGACAGTACGTTTTGTGAAAAGGCCTTGAAGCACATTGAAAGCAAAAGCTTTAAATCTCTCCGGCTATATCGCCAAGGTTGATGGACGTTTAATATCTACTTTAATAAAAACGTACACACATCCAGGTACAGCAATTGATTTCGCTCCACTGTTGTCTGCTGTCCACGTCGTATCCCCAAAGGCTGTTGTGCATGGTGGTCACCCATCCAAGCAATATCCAGGCTCACATCTACTTAGCTTCCGAGATCAGACACTATAAAGTACAATGAAGGTAATTTGGTCGTAATCGCTTCAATAAAGCTAATAATGTACAGCGCTTTGTAAAGCCAGGCATTGGGAAAGGACTTCCCATACCATGCTGTGTCAGTCGTGGGTATTGTTTGGCCATACTTCACCAAACTGGTGAGTGGGAGTTGAAGCGAGCATCCCTGACAGGTGAGGATATCACACGGATTTGACGTTAGCCGTGGCAGGGGACATTGCAGAGGACATTGGGAGAAGTGCAATGTAGTTTACATATATTACATAAGATAGAGTGCCACGATAAATAAATAAAAAAAGCTTAATAATACAGGTTGGCTAAATCCGTCGAGAGAGGCTTACTGAGTATTCATCAGTGAATGCATTTAATTTTATGCCTGTATCGGGTGAGCAGCCAAAATACAGTGCTTTTTGCTATTTGTAGCGTATCTCTATTCAGTTAACCATCATTTAAAAATCATATTACCCCGAGTTGCCTCCAAAGTGTTAATTGTTGCGTTCATAGGCTGCCTGGGTAGAATCAGTATGGAAAGGCCAACGCGGGCAAAGCAGGGAATTTAGGGTGGCGTTTAACATTTGACAAGGAAGGTCAAAAAATGCATTACTTTGAGAAAATTACTGCTGTGGAATTTGACATCCCAAAACGCCTTCATGGCACAAATAGAAACGTATCAATGTATCCATAAGTACATTCTGAGTAAAATGATTAACCTCCACGTGTCTTTGCCTCACTAGCCGATATTGCAAAAGGTTTATATTTGAGAGCTTGACTACTGTAGGCACACCATTTAGTCCGTTTACAAAAACAAGTGCCCTCTGGAGAGACGGAGTATACTCTATCTACGCTGCAAAACAAAATCATTAAAGTAACCCCGTCATGAAACTCGAGGCGAGTTGCGGTGACAACAACAGGAATATTCAGAGGTGAATGGAGAATAACAGTACAGTAGCAAAGTATGTTTGCAGGGAAGAATCGAGTTGAAAACTAGAAAACGAAGCGTCGTCACCCACAAGACGATGGAAAGGGTGCCAGCATTGGCACAAGTCCTTCATTTTTACCATTTGCATCTTGCCGTTCAGCCCTACATCAATCTCAATAATAGAAATTGGAGTAAGTAGTACTTGGCAATATTAAATAGAAAATCTATGTTATACTTTAAATACCACTGATTACATACATCCAATGTAATAAAACTTGTTGTCACACTAAAAGTCCGCAACCATCCCAATATAAAATCAAGTGTGCTATGCACCACGACAGAAGATTATCGGTCGTATATTAGTGCAGTCCCCTATATATATGTACATATTAAGATATTTTCAGTTAATTCATGAGTGTTTATATGTGGGAGGAAATTAGAGCACCCAAGGAAAAACTCACGCGTGTAAGAGGGAAACACTCTTCCCCATACACGGTAGATGGAATTGCTAAGAGCCCGCATTAACTGCACTGCCTTCTCCTGGAAAGCCAGGATATGGCACCTTGGCACTCACGGAAGTTTCACAACATTGCAGCTTTGCAGGATAAATAGGTAAATTCTGGGTTAGAGGTGACCGCCACCACCACCCTGCTGTCTGTCTGTACACATAAAAAATATATATTAAGTGCATAATTGTTACATTTTTGTTTTGTGCAAAATGAGCCATCCATAACATTCATGGATGCTCTTGTTAATAACATCAGACAACCAGAATTATGTGGTTTAACAGGCCTAATTTTGCCAATGAGACTCACAAATTCAAAACCAGTCCAGAATTTGCCTGACAAAATGGTGCAAGTAGAAATGTTACGATATTTTTTTCCATAAACAGACAGATTGCTGTGTGTTTAATAATTTATCTCGAGCTCAGTTTTCAGCAACTCAATCGGAAGGTGGGAGGACGGTGGATCACTCTTTGTCATCTTGAATCAATTAAGTACAACACATTTGTGGGTTTATCAATTGACAGCTATTTTAAAGTGGTGGGCATCGCAGGATTTGGGACATTCAACACGGGGTGACGTCACCGCAGTGCAAGCCCAGCGCAATGCGGTGCCGGCGAGTGATGACAACGATGTCATCATCAGCGGTACTGACCGTGATGATGATGATGATGACATCGTTGATGCAATGAAATCCTGAGCTTCAAATGCACGTGTTGAACACTCACGCATAGAAACTATTTCTTGACGCAATTTACGTGCAAAATGTGTTCAAATCGAACTAATCAACGATTTAATTCACCAGCGATGACAGATTCACCAATTCTTGCAGCTGCAGCCGTGCGCCTTTAGCCGTCAAGGTGCTGCGTGCCCGGGTGCGGCGCAGTCTCTTCGTTGCTTCTCGAGGCCGGAGAGCCGCGTGCGGATCAGCTCTACGACGAGATGCTGGGGGCGGCGCGCGAACTCAGCCAGGACGTCGTGTGGACTGCTCACCTGGTCCCCCGCCAGTCGATCGAGGAGCGTCACGCACACCACGCCCGCTGCCACAGCAACAACCACACACAGAGCACTACTATATATGTGCAGTGCTCTGCTACGAAGCACACAAGCTGCACCTCCCCTCTTATAGACATCTGTCAATACGCTTCTAAATGAAGGCATGACCTCATGACGGTATATTAGCCATAGCCGGGTTTCATAGCGCACGAACGAATTCTAGCCTGCTCCCTCTTTCTCGACCTAGATTGACACCTCCTCTGATGTGTTTTCCACTTGTGTCACTTATCTTGACGCCAACTTTTTAGCCTTCTTCATTGCATTCTACGCCATCTCTTCATATCGTTGATTATAGCGCAGTTCTCCAATCCAGAATTTTGGAAAACATCTTATAATATCGACCAGAGAATCTCCTGGCCAGACTTTCCTTCTGAAATGTATTTTCTCACTTCATGCAATCAGCGTAGCTATTCTATTTATGGCGCATTGGTATCTACGGATGAAATGTGCCTTAAAAAATATTATTCTTTACAATTATCCTTGCAAATGGTTTTAATCGTTTCTAAATGTTGTTTTTTGTTTAGGCAATGATTAGGTACGGTATGTAGAACACCAGCACTCCACGTCGCAGTTTCAGGCGACGCGCAATGAGTGATTTTGCGGAAGTGAATTATATAAATACCAATGCTGGCTCGTTTTCAAACCCGGTTCTTCTGCATAACAGCTGCGTGTATTTCGTGCTACAACCTGGTGGAGGATGCTCTGTTGAATCCACTCTCTGAGAGTACAAAACTATAGTGTAATTTGCTGTTCCCCTAAAATATAACCACGTGCCCGCTGATACTGCAAAGCAACTGCAGATGCCCATCTGAAGCTGTTTTACTTGTAATGGTATATCTCATTTCCTTCCACCAGGACCTTTCGGAACACATGCTTTGCCCCACGGCTATAGCCGATTCACCTCCAATCCGATGAATTGTCGCAAGTGAAGGTTGTAATTAGTTCAGGGATTCAACTGTTGTTTTGTCTCCTAGTTGACCCTGTCATTTGACTTGATTTGAAGCTTTCGTGACTGCAGGAATCCACACTCTTTGGTTCTTTCGGTAAAGTCACGTGGGTAGAAAAATAAAATGTTATTTTTTGTTTCGTAAAAATGTTCTACCTACGTGACTTCACCTCTCATTTTTATTCTCGTTTTATCTGGCTCGTTTGTACAGTAACATTGGAATATAATAAAAGTTACATTGGAATATTATTTGATAAAAAAACATTCCAAGTCAATGTGAATCAACAGGTGGATGCAGGCCATGGGAGACATTTTTTACCATAATTCACCATGCTGGTCCATATGGCTTGATAAGGGTGGGTGGGGAAAGGGCAGGACCAATTCTGACATCACTTTCCAATGATGATAGCTGTGGCTGGGATTCTAACTCGGGTCAGGGGGTTCATAGCGCTACTGTACGCGCGAACCACTCTACCCTCCGCTCCACCATAAATCACAAAAACTAATCTCACACATACAATTCAAACTTTTACAATCAATGTTCACCTTAATCGACTAGCCGTTGCTTCGCTACACCCTGACGGCTCAAGTTGCACGTGTCTCTGAGTGTGTGCTGGGCATGTAGGATGTTCTGCTTTCGTGCGGTGCGCATTCATCTCTCGTGCCCCCACCCCCGTGCTGGGTTGAAGACGGGACGCACCTTGCAGACCGCTGAGACGGCACAGCACGGAAAACACGGACGACTCCATCTCGATGTTGCACACCCCCGCTTCGTGCGCCGCGCGCAGATACACCAGCTTCTCCTCGTGGCTGTACGTGCACACGGCACCGTCCAACCGGGCCTGGCCTGCACACGAAGAGTCCGCCAATTTAGCTTTCACGCACACACGAACAGAGGCACTAGAACGGTGTGGAATGTAATGATCGACGCAACAGTAGAGAAATGCTGCTGCAAGTTTCGTTGGCCCAACGGCCTCTGTAAAAAGGGGACTGGGCGGGAAGGAGACGGAAGAAGATTAACAATAATCTCACGTGACCAAATCACCCGAATGCAACCCGACCTCATCACATCTCAGAAGCTCAGTAGGGTTGAGCTCGGATAGCACTTGCGATGGACAAACACCAATGCCCAGCAGGTTGTTATAGGCTGCTTGGCACTCTGACCTCTGAGCCGCCTGGCCACCTCCGACGATGGCGTAGCCTTAACAATTCACCCCCCTCCCGCCACCCTCCCACCCAACTTGAGGCTTACGGCCTCTGTTGGTCACCGGTGTCATATCCGCACCCTCGTAGAAGTCGTGCGTGCACATGGTGTTGCCCAACACGGTTTGGAAGCCGCCCACGGCGCGGCCACAGGCGACCAGCTCGGCAGCCAGCCCGGCGTGCAGCTCCGTGCTGCGCACCACAGACTTGCCCAGCACCATCTGCTCCATCTGAGGCTGGAAGCGTGCGTCTACAGCCGAGCGCGACACCACCACCGTGCCGGGCTCCAGACCTTCAGCACGACCAGGAGGTGCAGGGAGCAAGCGGTTATTCAATTGCAGTTGCGCGGCTGTATTTTTCCATGCCCTCGACCGTGCGTGTGGACCAGAGGATACATGAAGGGATTTCAAGACGTAGTTTTGCGATATCCGTTTGAGCGGGCCGTTCTCTCCGCATCAATAGTGTGGAAGTGGCAGTGATGAAGACGGTCTGTGTGTGGTGCTGCTCAATCTGTCCCAACTCGTGTTTCTGTGCTGTTTGTGTTGAATAATGTCAATTTATTTCATTTTTGCGATGTTTTTGTGTACTGTTCACACGCTTGCGGTTACCTTGAAAAGCACCTAGAAATACTCTCATGACTTAGTCGCCTAATAAATTGCTATTATAAAAGTAATTTGTCTAACCTTGTTCACACACATTTCTCCCACTTCTCCATTGTCAAAGATATTTGTTGTGTTAACGAAATGTCACCTGACTGAAAGGATTTGATTAATTTAAAGGGCTGCAAAATATGTTTCAGTACTGTAACTCCCCCACTAATGTAATATCTTGCCTCTCCCGTGGATCCTATTGCCCCAATGTCCAGACCTTCAAGTACATAGAATGAATAAATGAATAAAGGCATATATTAATAAATAACGTGTGGTGACAATACATAGCTTCTCGAAGTAGATTTCTTTTGTAGAATCATCCAGGGCCGGAAGACATTTCTGGAAGCTTTGGCGCGTCACTGCTCATCATTTACTTATTCATCACGTTACTTGTTTATTTATTTTATATCTCTGCCGACTCCTCCAGGAGAGCTCCCCCACCCCTGAAATTCTGAACGTTGGGGCCATAGGATCCAGGGGATAGTTGGACACCAAAACTAGCAATAGACCAATGTTCACGACTTATAATTTCACCTGAAAGATCGTGAACTTCTAAAGCATACACGGGTCAAACGTTTATACATTTCTCCCCATAACCCTCACTCCATAGCGGTAATTCACCCGAACAGGACGGTTTTATTGTAACCCTTAGTTCTTAAGTCACTGCGGCAGAGAGGTGTTGTCATACCGAGTCCACCCGACGTGCCGATACGAATGACGGTAACATCACGGCAACGCGCGTGGTGCAACAGCTTTATTAGCTCATGCAGCAAAATGGACATGGAAGGGACCCCCATGCCGTGCTGTACTCACGAACAAGCAGACACGAGACAAACACACACAGACACATGGGTGTAAGAGCACGCATTGGTGTGGGCACACACAAAGCAAGGATCACTTGAGTAATTATTATTGTTAGAGTAACGTGCCAAGTGTGTAAGTATGCATGAACCATTAAGGTCCAGAGGTCGCTGTAGTCGATGCCTTTGATGCCATCACATCCTGCCTTTGATTCCTTCCTTCCTTCTGCAAGATCCCACAGCTGTAATAAAGTTAACACCTACCTTTCAAGGTCTGTTCCTAGAGTATCACATCTTCTGGAATTAGGTCCAACCTCTGGGTGTCCACTCCAATGCCTACCTAGGACTACCATATTGCCTGGCTACTTGCTCAGTTTAAGTGTTGAAAAACCTGCACTGCGCCACTGATAAGAACACCATGCCATGTATAGCAACTGACATAACTTGGCACTGAATTTATTTTTCCATGACACATGATACTGTTGCATAATTTACCAACAAGTTGCTCTTTTATTTTTATTACCCAGCAGTGAATTGACAAGAAGTTCAACTGAGAGAGAGGTTGTCACTGCGGAGGCAATGTGTCTAATTCCCAGTCATAGATATTGGAAGCCATGGACACATGCTATTAAACTTAGCCTCTGTGTGACAAGCTGTATTTTAAATCACATTTGAGTAGGGTAAGTGTGGTGTCCCTTAACACTTATTACAAACTGCCTGTATATATTTGAGATATAGAACCTACATAGTTTGCGTATAGTGAGGTAATATGAACATTTTTTTTAAGGAACGAAACAGGAGGATTTCTCCACAAATCTGGCTGTTGCCTGATGAAGCTAGTTCTAAATACTGGTGAAACGTCGTACTCAGATTGTAAATGTGAACTTACTCTCAAACAAACCAGTGTGCTGTACTAGTAACAAATTGGCATGTTCTGTTTACGTGACAAACCTTTCTAATTGGCTGTGTCGGGTGGTGGCGGGTTTATCGACCCATTTATATTTACGCGATCTAACAAAAAAAACCTATATTATGGATAATATGAATATGGTGAGTTCAGAGATTTATGAAACTTCCGTATGAAATATTGTGCGCCTAATATAAACTGCCTCCCTCACACCCCAGAGGTAATGCTTGCTTCTCCATTTCCTTGGTAAACATTCCCTAACTAAGTCACTGATTATGTGCATGGATTCATGTAATGATATCAATTCTATAGCCTCTTACTGTACAGTCAGGGGGCAATCGCAGTAATTATAATCTAGAGGCTGTACAAACACTGACCCTCGCTGTCTATTCCTGTTGTTGATTCACGGCACACAGCGGCTAGAAACTATAACATGTTTCCAATGCAGCGGTATATATCGTACGGGTAAAATATGAACAATTCAACTCAATAACTAAAATTCAGACTTTGAAAGTCAATTCAGACTTTGAAGTAAATTTTCGATTGAACTAAAAGGTTAACTTTGAGCCACGCTTGTACAATGATGGTGTTGATTATGATGGTGATCGTCATCATAACCAATTAGCGTTCACTCTATCAATACTCACTCGTGGGGACAGGCCCTCGTACGGTAAGTCGCAGTGATTAATGTGGTGGTGGTGTCGATCACTGGTGTTCTTACACTGGCTGCCAGCACGGGTCCCGCCTTGTACATGCTGTAGCGGTCATTGTTGCCACAGAGGTTGATGATGGGATCCTGAACCGTCTCCGAGAGGGCGAGTTTCGTGCACAGAATCCCGACAAACTCGCGCATGCGGGACGCGCTGCCTCCAACACAAACAAACTGGAACACACAGAAACAGGAATCAATAAGTATTCTATATATCAGGGAACATAGCATTTCTCATCTGGCAAAACAGGACGTTGCTCTTGTTAAGTATAAATCCCCGTCAGCACGAACTCTTTTCTCCGTAATCATGGGAACGTAGCCTTTAACTTCTTTTCCACTGCGCAACCGGCTCGGCATGACGCATACCAAGTGGAGAAGCCACTTGTACTGTCAGAAGTCCACACTGGCTTGGCTCAGATGGGTCATTGGCAAAGGAGTAAAAGTGTAAATAGACCAATCCTCCTTGAAGAGGCAAATTTTCTCGGCTTCAAATCCGACTGACCTGCAGCCCCCGCATGAAGGGGAAGGCACCCATCTTCCAACCACCCAGGACATCGATGTCACTGTGATACCCACAATTTAATGCAACCCATATGAATATATATTAATTGTACATCATCTACCGTAAGTTAATATTTCCCAAAAATGTACTTTTAGAAAATAAGCTATTTATATGTTAGCAAGTTGGATTGTGAAAGGCGAAGTGTTGACAAAGGGCATGGTGTTATGTACATAATCTGTTAAATAACTTTTATAATTAAATATTTTAATCTCTGCCACGTGAAAATGTGCACTTGCAATTTGGATTGCACGAGTAAAGTTCGTAGAGCAAAAACCGCCAGTGCCACCAAGCAGCATCACCTTAACGTCTCCAAACATGGCGGGGAGGTCATGGGTCAAAGTTCCCAGGCCGAGGTGATACAGCACATCCTCGGCCATCGTGTGGACGTGGAGGTTGGGCACCCGCACAAGCCCAATTCTGGTTTTACATATACACAAACACACGCGGGTAAACGCACCAACCATTGTATCAGTGTGCGGTATTTAACTCTGTAACTTTCATCCATTGCCCGTGTGTCGATAGTTCAATGTTAATGTGCCATTTTATTGAGGGACTACTACTCTGTGGCATCTTGTTGTGGTCTGGTACTCTTTTGTTGTTGTTTTTGCTGCCTTGCCCAGTCTTGATATATCTGACTTAATTAATTTCGTATTACTTATATGTAATGCCTTACCATTGTCTCTATGTTGCACTTCTATCGTTTTTTGTTTTGTATGTCGTTGTAACTTGCTGGCCCGCCCATACAAGACATCTGTGAAAAAACTTCTTCATAGCTCATCGGATTCCTCCAGTCTCATTAAAGATTCTGATTCTGCGTGGTATATGTTACATTACGTGACATAAAGTACAGCAGTTACTTCTCTGACGGTGGGCAGGTCGTATTCCATAACCGAGCATTGTCCCGCGATCGGGATCACCCATTGGTTAAAGATGCATGCGTGTGGTCAGTTAGGTGTGACTGGGCTGTGATTGGCTTAACTTGCACGTGTTGGAAAGTGGATGATCACTCACAGAGACGCATAATTACCGCCTTGCTCGTGATTGGCGGGACTTGCACGTGTGAAGGGGAAATGACTCATCTCCTCGGCTGATTATTAATTTCCCGCTCACCATTGGTCAATTGTGCGTGCTTTTCAAATCAAACAGCTGATTGTCCGGAACCATGTTTGCAGAGATGATTTGGAGCAATTAGGTAGGCAGCCAGTTGTTAATGCCTGAGAGTGTATCTGATCTCCCATTGCCTGGGGACGGCTCGGCTGTGTATAAAAGTAAAGCTCAGAGGCTTTACATAAATGAACAATTTACCCGCAAGTTAGGTACGTTATCAGCCGCCGTGGAGTTTGAAGGCGCATGGTCGACTCAACATCCCGCTGGGATGTGCCTAGCGTGTACGCTCGGAACAAACTCCTACACTGGCGCTGTGGAGTTGAATTGTGTCGTTTTGATATATATATTTTTACCAGGGTTCTTGGACGTTATAGGAACTGCCTTGTGGACGACGATTAAGTGCAGCTGGGCCAAGCAAAAGGGCCCCGAAACGCTGCTTGTCCCCCTTGGCTCCGCCATGTGGCAAGGCGGGAGCGGTGCAACCGTGCGCTACCCAGCTTCCGATTTAGCGTCGTTGGCTACGTACGGTGCGATAGAAGTTCTACATCGAGTAACATCGCACAACTTTCAAAGCCGACACCCTTGTTGCCGTGGATTCCTGAGAATCATCGGTGACCTGTCCCGCTAGAGGTTTGTGAGTAATGCTGTTGTGGGTAGGTGCCTGGCGTAAGTGGTGCAGAATTGTGATGAGGTGCTGTGGGGTGCCGTCTGGTAGATACAAGTACGCTGAACTTATTTTGCACCGTACGTAGCCAACCGTGATAATCGGAGGTGCGTGGTAAGGACTACAAGCTAAACAAAGACGTTAGAAAAGAATGCGTTTTCAATTTAGGTTTAAATGTGCATTGCTCCAGTAGCTTTCCTAATATCGGAAGAAAGAGCGTTCCAGACGGCCGCAGAAACGCATCTGGAAGCACGCGGTGCAGTGACCGTCTTTGTTCGATGGCTTGCAGCCGAAAGCCGCGTGATGGTTTATGCGCCTTGACGAGATCCGCAAATGGTGTTGTGGTTCATTTTTGGCAAGCACTTTGTGGGTGTGTAATGAGTTCGACCTTGTAATGTAGGTGGCGCGCGAGGTCACATCGCGATTTAACACGTGGGAGTTGAGCGGTGTAGGGGTTACGGTTGAAGGCGAGTACGGTATAGTGGGCCCTCGGGCACCACCGTGAATATCTAGAACCGGGTAAAAATCACAAGTGTGTGTGCGTAACCCCCAGTGTTGTCCGAATTTTTAGTTTGCCTTCCTCCACATCTAGAAGGCCATCTAAAGCGGCCTTTGTGTATCTCAGCGATGGCTGAAGCAAAATTATTTCGGAGCGTGTGCGAGTCTGGGAATGTACGAGAACAGAGGTCTGCAACATGTGGCTCGGCAACCGCATTGCGCCTATTTTAAGGACTGCTTAGTTGATGCATTGCAGCTCATGAAATGTTTAGGGGTTTTTTTACACAGATTAGAAATATTTAAAAAATTGCTCTTATTTTGGTTGCCGACCCCCTGCACTAGGGCATAGGTGTGAGTCTGCTCTGTAATTATGTGAATTTAGCTTAGGAGCCGTCCATAAATGACATCACGCGATTTTGGACTTATGTCCCCTCCCCCTCCCCCCCCCCCCTTATCACAAAAAGTCAGCCCCCCCCAAAAAAAAAGACGTCAAAGCTCTGCCCCCCCCCCAAAAAATAAAACATGCTTCAAATCGCTTAAACTATTGTCATTGTAGTGCGTATTTAATGTGGCGCTGCACTCTGATGTCGGAGAAAACATTTATTAAAACGTCTATTTAATTAAGTAGAACTTGACTATATTTAAAGTTGCGCATTTTTACGTGACGTCACATTTCTCAAATCCCCCTCCCTCGTCACACATCGTCACAAATGTCTGAGCCCCCCCCCCCCCCCAGGTGCGTGACGTCATTTATGGACGGCCCCCTTTAGATCCATTGCACTTCCCTGGAAGTGTAAATATGACTGCACTGCCCAGTGTAAACCCTTGATGGTGGTCCGTATACAAACTAAAGATAACCCCCCCCCCCCCCACTCCGTCCATCATAAATGCATAAGTGACCTGGCTGATCATATGACGCACTGACATCAGCAACAAATGCACTATGCATGTTATAGAATACAGTAAATGGGCTGCACACTCCAGCATATCGTGTCGTGTTTTGGGGATATTTACGTGCCAGAAAAAAAAAGACATGAACCTATATATACAGTAGTGCATCTGGATAATCCTTTGGCTGGGGAGTTTGTGATTTAGAAGCCTGCGGGAGCGACCCCGCTTGTTTGGTTCTGCTGCTAGGGACGACTGCGCTGGGCCGCTCTTTTTACTGCAGATTGTTTTAGATAAAGATTACTTTAAAGCAAGACCATTATCTTCACCTCTATTGCTCCCTTGCGTGCATGGGTTTTCTCTGGGTCCTCCAGCTTCTGCCCACTGGGTAATAAACACCTTGAAATAAAAACTCTATGCAAGTTCCTGCCTTAAAATGGGCTTTTACTACCCGGTGTGGTTTACCTGGATAAATATTTATTGGTGATTATAAGTTAATAATGAAAAAAACACTTAGATTTCCTGCGAGAAACTTGTGGCTCATTTGCAACGATTCTGCAACTCCTGGTATATAGACTCAACCTTTTTATTTTACCAGGTAAGCCCCACAGAGCTATATAGCTAGGATTGAAGCTTTCGTGACTGCAGGAATTACTATACTCATTGGTTCTTTCGGTAAAGGCACGTGTGTAGAAGTAACATTAAAATAGATCACAACGTTTCGAACGCAACGCAAGTGCTCGTCCTCAGGTGAAAAGGTCGTAAATCACACAGCGAGGGAACACGCAGAGCACGACAAACTGCACGACAAACTGCACGGAGTTTGTCGTTCTCCGTGTGCTCTGTGTGTGATGTCCCTCTGTGTGTTCCCTCGCTGTGTGGTCTACGACATTTTCACCTGAGGACGAGCACTTGTGTTGCGTTCGAAACGTCGTGATCAATTTTATTTTGTTTTTATTTTTTTATTTTATTTCTACATACGTCACTTTACCGAATGAACCAATGAGTATAGCTATATGGGCTGTTTTTCAGAAGTGACCTGCCCACAAGTGATAGCTCAACGAAGTGGCTTATGTGGACATTTATAGCAGCCAAATAATCAACATATTTCTAAAATGTGGAGGGGAGAAACACCAGAAAGGACCCGGAGAAAAATCCACGCGACCACGGGGAGAACATTCAAACCCCAAATATACAGCAGGCGTCAGGGTTGAGAATCGAACCCATGACCTCCTGTGTACCAGGCGAGGTAGTTAACATCTCACCACCGTGGCATTACTTAATGCATTAGACTCAATACAGTACAGATACTATAACATTTATTTAAAGCTGTATTAAATAACTGATTCTACAAAAAAACAAACTAACACCTAAGTTAATGTTAATGCTGTCGCAAATCCGCAGTCAACAAAGATTCCATAACAATGCCTTCTAAAGTCTTGTGGTTCACCAACACGGGTCACGAACTACAGTTTGTGTGATTAAATACATTTGGTTTTGTGACTGCTATGTTTGATCATTGCTGATACGAGCTGCTGGGCACACAACATGGAAATGGGCGGTGAAATTGGCGAGGAGCAGCACTTGTTGTACGGTTTCGAGACAAGAAGCTGCCGTGGCTAACACTACAGGTGCATTAACAATCGAGCAAAATGCACCATCTCGCTTCGAAGTGGAGTTTTTAATAAATAAAAAAATCCAGTGACGTTATTCGCAACACACTCGGCCATGCGTGTGTGTGTCTCCGTCACGTTTCAAATTTGACTAATACGTAAAATTGCCGACGAATTCTTTTAATTGGGTACAACCACGGAGCAACATTGTCCCCTACAACTCGAAAACATCAGTGCAGTCTGTGAGACAAGACCTTTGTGATGGGATGAACATCACACGTATTAAGTTATTTTTGTTTATTGATTTTAACTGATCTAACACAAAATATGTTTTGTTTAGCATAGCGTCGTTCATGCAAACTGTATCTCAATTGCCGTGGGAGCACAGGCAAGCTTGCAAGGTAGCCAGGGCGCTGAGCCCACGCCATCAATTGCCCCGGCTCTATGGTCCACTACATTAAGATGTTTTCAAACAATTAATGATAATTTTTTTAAATGTGTGGCGGCCCTCGCAACGATGGATTATTGGCGAAAGTGGCCTCCTGAAAAGAAGTGAAGAACACTGATTTAGGTCGTGACCTTCCTGGCAGAAAAATAGTTCGGCGCCCGGCACGCCACGTTCCAAACATCTCCTGCTGTGGCTGGCGTTACATGCATACTCCAGTCTACCCGGAAGGCAATAAACTAAGGCTCGCTTACAAGATGTGTCATACTGACCAAGAAGAACAAGGTTGTAATATCCAACGACACGTTGTATCCAAGTCATATTTCGCATGCATTGTCTATCAACTTACTGAAATCAATATCAATTGGCATGTTTTGGTCACGTGACACGTTGATATATTTGGCCGTGTTGGGTGGAGGAGGGTGTGCGACAATAATTATGGCATTATACTCGCGCAATCTGACCCAAAAAACAATTAAGAACCATAATCCATGATACAGGGTTTTTTTTCGGGTTAGATCACGTAAATATATACATGTTCTAGATTTTAAGCTTTCGTGACGTCGTGATTTAATTTAGTTTTCATTTATTTTATTTTACCTACGTGACTTTACCGAAAAAATCAAAGAGTATATGTAAATGTGTCACTAAACCCGCCACCACAGCAATTTGTAAGGTTTGTCACGCAAACAGAACGTGCTAATTCGCTACTAGTACAGCACACCGTTGTGTTGGAGAGCCCAGCCACAACATCTACAATCTGAGTACGACGTTTCAACAGTAATTACAACTAGCTTCATCAGGCGATAGCCAGTTTTGTGGAGAAGTCGACCTGTTTCGTTCCTTAAATAGCGGCGTAGATGTGGTGACATCACTCGTGTGCCCTTCTTGTGCGAAGATGGGGGGGGGGGGGGTTAATGAATGCATATTTATATGGTAATCAATGTACATTATGCATAATTGGCGGAAAAAATGTAGTTCTTTAATTTACAAAATAATTTATAAATGCGGAAAGCAATACTCACTCTGTACTTGAGTTTTCCTCTTCATTCTGAGTGAGGATTGGTGACATTTTAGGATCTGTAAGAACAAAAACAAATACAATATCCCCGTATAGCCTAAACAGACTGAAGGAGGAAGTGCTGTGAGCGAGTGGCATCTATAAAGACCGGAACGCCAAACGAAGGACTGTGTGGTCAGCACCACGCACAGTCGCCTTTGTCTCCCTAGTGGCGATGTTTTAACACACCGCACAAGGTACTCATTTGAGGCTGAGTCGACCTAAGGGAGGCCCAGGACCGGTTCAGATATTCGTCACCGCTGTTGGCCGTGAGCGGGAATTGGGGTCGCCTGTCGGGTTTATGAAATGTGCCCTACACCGAGACTTGCATCGCAACTGCTTCAGTCAATTGTGGAAACAAAGCACTCGACTAGGACATTTGAAGTTTCGCTTCACGCCACAAACTACTGCAAGCTACAAGAGGAAAGAAATCCCTTGAACTTTTCATTCCACCTGTGGAATGTCAAGCATGTCAGCATTAATATTTTATGTAATTCGATAGAATATATGGGTATACTGTATATGGCCCTGCTGTCGGTCTATATTGTTGTGGTATATATGTGTATACGCTAATTTACATAGATCCCGTGTTACAGGTATAAATTAAGTACATTTGAATTTTAAACAAATTATTAAAACGGTAAAATCATGACAGATGAAAGATGTATACGCATGAAAAGTTTATATGATCAAGTTCACAGCTCAATATAAAACGGATTTTTGTTTTTAATGAAAATTAAGTGTAATACAAGTTTTGAGTGGTGTTGTGGGGAGCGGTAGTGCAGTGGTAGCTACCCGATAATTACTAGCAAAACGTCACAGTACTCAAAAGTAACTAATTGGGACGTTTTGTTTACGTGGCAAAACCCTTACTCTTTGACTGTCGTGTGGTGACCGGTTAACGACACATTGGTAAGTTTTGATTTAAAGCTTTCGTGACTGCAGGGATTCATATTCTTGGTTCTTTCGGTAAAGTTACGTGAGTTTACCGAAAGAACCAAGAATATGACACATTGGTACTTACCCGATCTAACCAAAAAAACCTTCATTGTGAGCGACACAACTCGGCAACCTCAGTTCAATTCCCGGCCATGAATAACACCATTGGCAAGTGATATCAGAGCCGGTCCGAGTGTACCCATCCCCGTTATAACCAACTCGTGATGACAAGTGTAGTGAAGTATGGTCAAACAAGCACCCTGTAACTTGTCACGGCATGGACACATATTCACGCAGCCAGCAGGCTGTCAATTATGATGTTAATACAATGCCGGCAATTACATAACTGCGAATGTGTGTACTGCGTATGTGATGAACGCACTTTCCTTACTTGAGTTTAGCACTGTTTAACATTGTATTCTCACGACAGTTTAAAATATTGTGTATATATTTACTATGAACATGTAGCACTTGTGTGTTCAGTTATACATTCCCACCCCCCCTCTCTCTCCCAAAAACAAACGTTACAATTACGTAGTATTTTTTTTGTGAACAATTCGATAAATAATGTATAATGTTCATCGACACGTTGTGCCAAAAACAAGTCCACGTAGTTGGGGGGGGGGGCTTTTAACACAAAGCCCCCCCCCTCCTCCTCCTCCTCCTCCTTCCAAGCCCCTCAATACAAAATAAAGTGAGCTGTCACTCCGGTCTTTTGCCACGTACCTGACTGTAAGACGACTGACCTGCTGGCGATCACGCGTTCTATTGCGCAAGCAAACCGGACTACTCGGGTCTTTATAGAGACACCACCCTTATGACACACACACCAACTCACAAAACCACATCATTCACGCGTACTGACCGCTTCACGGATCCATCTCGTGACGCTCTTACAAACATTCCAACGCAACCCCCCAATAGAGACACTCCCCTCCGCTTCACGAGGCAATCGATAGTCCCCATTGGTCTTTGAGTGAGAGGTGTGTGAGCATCGTGAAGCATCTTTGCAGCCACTGAGCTAGTCCGAGTGGAGGTTTGGCCAGTCGTGACGTTCCAGTGCAGTGCTGTAATATGAAAGGAATTTCCTTGTGTGCTTTAGGTCATGGGCGTCACTGCATATAGGCTATGCCTTTTTTTGTGTGTGTGTCAGTTCAATGCTGAATGAACGCAACCCCGCGTCGTACGGGCCGCGGTGGGGGTTATTTGACCATACTTTTTACCACGCTGGTTTAGTGTGGATTGCTCAGGGCGAGAAGCATAGATGTTGGGGGATAGTCCAGTACAACGATTGATCGCCTTCACCCACACCCCTGCACTCCCCACAGCTGCCTAATGGGCACATAACCCCGAAGTCTATGGATATCGGTGATGCACGGTGGTCGTCCATGTAGGTAACGATCCAGGCTCAAAGCTGCTTATCTTCCGAGAATTGACGAGCTTGGGTTGCATCAGAGATGATTTGGTCATAGGCTATATACAGTATAACTAACATTCTCGTAGAATCTCAAAGCAATGAGTTATAAAATAACTAACCGAATTAAAATTAGTTTAACTATTATCAGGAAATAGTTAATTATTTAGGTTTTTCAGGTTACTATCCTCAAATGAAAATCTGTTCATCCTCAACCATATATTTTAAACACCAACCCACGTTACAGTCCTCTATATATCACAGATTAATCGCAAACATGTGCAGACTTCTGTCAACTCACTGCTGGATTAACAAAAGGTGCCCATGTGCGATGTTTGTGGTGCGTGAGGTTGATTGCTGGGGCTCACTGTGGGTTTCGTGAAGGCGCTGTGCCCCAGGAAGACGAGGTTCACGTTTGAGTACTGAGCCATGCTGGTGAAGAACGGAACTAAGGAACCGTGGAGTATAATCAGGTTCAAGTCACAAAGCAGTTGAACGATCTGACGAAGCCAAAAAACAAACTTCTTCTTAACCGTTGGCCACATCCTGTTAACTTTAGTGACGCACATTACTGGTGTCACTACGGTGTATACATTTTACATCTCGGGGGAATTGCCATGAATCATTTTCTATATATCGAAGGTTCAAGCGTTGGGCACGTCTTTGGCATGTATCTCTCACATACTGTAGCAGTGTCAGCTTTTTGGATGACCGTATTCTCCGAATAAGGTTTTTCCATGTCCCCTGTTTTCCTGTATTTTAAAGTAAAGGTTGGTCTTCCGTCAAATAATATAGTAGGTATTTGTGTGTGCCCAGATCTGTATAACGTTTATTCACACCGGACACAGGTTATGAGTGTGTCTTGTAATCTGGATAATACAATATATGTATTTTTTATCTGCTTTCGACTCAATGTTTCTCTATCATCTGAGATTCATGGGTTAATCATAGCGCTCTACATGTACCACTGTGTCCACTACCCACATCTGCGACCAATTATTAAGGCTTACATAACCGGTATAATTCTAAGACACTAAAATGCACTACAGTAATCGTGTTTGTAATAGAATGGCTGTATTATCACTTGACTTAAAGCTTTCGTGACTGCGGGAATTGATATTCTTTGAGTCTTTCGGTAAAGCCACGTAGATAGAAACAATTATAAAAATTAAAAAAATCACGACGTTTCGATCGCAACACAAGCAATCGTCATCACTAGGCCCCCCCCACTTCGCTGATGACCCTTGGGCTACACCCATCTCGAACCTTTATAACATCCTACCTCAGCAGCTCTCTCGCAATTGTTTCACCTGATGACGATTGCTTGTGTTGCGATCGAAACGTCGTGTTTTTTTTTTCTATCTACGTGGCTTTTCCGAAAGACCCAAAGAATATGTATTTTCACTTTAAACAGGAGTAACGCACTGCATGTAGTACTCTAGTGAACACACTGCGCTCCTTAAACAAGTGACTAAGTTCGATTCCTAGATTACAGCTCAGGTCAGTGGCAATTCATATTCTGAAGCAGTCCCCTGAGCCCCGTGAAGTATGGTCAAACTCGGAGCCTTCATTCGCGGAATGTTATGCATCAGTAAACTCGTACATAATACAATTAACTTATTTTATTTAGTATGATGTATATACGAGAAACAGATCACACATCCACGGAAAACATTGGATTCCTTCATCTACTAGTGGACAGAACATGGCTGACGACTAAATGACGAAGTACATCAGGCCAAATACGTTGATAACATTAAACATTGAAAAAGATCATGCTTTAATCACAACCACTAACTGAGGGCAGTCAACAAAAGAGCAGTGGCACTTGTGCAAGGGGAATGGCAAACTAGAATAAAGATCATTAAACGAGAGCGTTGGGATTACACGGATTATCGTTAACGCAATGCTGGTCTATACACACGCAACACGAATGTAAATAAACACTTTCAGTTGCTGAAAACCCGTGGCACCGTGCTCCAGAAATGCAATACAATTTGGACGTATCGCGTCTGAGGTTGATAAAAAATAAACTCACCACTTTATTCGTCAATGGGTCCATAGGCGGAGCTTGACTTCTATATCTGGGGGGGGGGGGGGAGTCGCGGGGGAGTCGCTTTGTCCCTCACATTGTGAATCTCGGGTGCATATAATCATTATTATTTTAAAATCCTAATTGTGAACTGCTGAAAATAAGTTAATAAATGTGCCCAGATTAACATGAAGGCATTCGCGATCAATATCTTCCGTAGAGGTTTTTTGCCTTAGATATTGCATGAATATAAATGTGTCGTTAAACCCACCACCACCCGACACAGCAAATTAGTGATGCGTCCAGTTTAGGAGGGAAGTTGCGCCCCCCCCATCCCCCGTGTCAATAACTCTGCGTTATTGACGTGAATGGTGCGTTAAGTTTGTTTCGTGAATTGTACTTGTGCCCCACTGCCGACGCAGCGGTGTCACCGATTTATTGAAAGTTTGGAGATTGAATCTCCAACTTAATCAATCTACAACTTCAGCTCGGAAAGCTTACGAACCGACTGGAGCCTTGGGTGTTGTGCGGATGTGCGCACACCACCGTCAGGCGGATGTCACGTCGCATTGGGGAGCAAGTGCTTCAAAAATCTATCGTTCTGTACTGCGCCTTCAAACCCGCACTGACCGGTTTGGTCAAGTTATGGTCAAATGGGCTATTTGGAGGTCCTCAGCCAGCAGCTGATTCCACAATAAAAAGAAACCGGGCTGTAACATGTACACGCAGCGTACAAATGCGACAGCATCAGGAGACGGGGCGTACAGGGCAGTGGGACACTCGTATGCTGGGGGTAAGAAGGCGTCAACATTGTATTGTTATAGACTTAAATAGTGAGTCACTAGCAGAGGAAAAGAGGAAGGTCAGCAGATGGCCATTGCAATATGGTAGGGCAGTAATGGTATTGTTACGACAGCCAAGGACACATTCAATGTCAGGACCTTAGTATATTTAGTAATGTGCCATGAGGAAGGGTCGTTTCCCAACGATGCCGAATACCTTTTTGCAATTTAATGCAGTGTTATTGACGACTGTGAGTTTTTGTCGTTTGGGTTTGTGGACCACTGCCAACGAACCAGCATCACCAAATCATGTTTCGTAACAACAATAGATTGTAAAACCAACGTGCGCCCTCTCTGGGTCAGCGTTATGACCCTCAGTTAACTCCGCAATCCATGCCGATACATGGATGTCATTACTCCAACATAACAAACTTACCGTGCAGCAGTTGGGTCTGGACCTCCTCAGTAACACCGTTTTGCAGAGCTGTAAATGATCGAAATGTCCACGTGCAGTGCCGGCCTTTTTTTTCAACCAACTGTTGTATGGAGTGCTTCTCCACCTCCGTGCGGCTCTTGTGGAGTTCTTTGACCTCCACTACCCTGGCCATTGCGGGATAGTGGAGGCTGGGAGAATGGACGTTGGAACATAGTACAGTCCTGTACAACACATTATGAATCTCGGTTGTATATAATTATTGAAAATAAGTTAATAAATGTGCCCAGATTAACATGAAGGCATTCGCGATCAATATTGTCCGTAGAGGTGTTTGCCTTAGATATTGCATAAATATAAATGTGTCGTTAAACCCACCACCACCCGACACAGCAAATTAGTCAGGCGTCCGGTTTGGGAGGGAAGTTGCGCCCCCCCCCCCCATCCCCCGTGTCAATAACTCTGCGTTATTGACGTGAACGGTGCGTTAAGTTTGTTTCGTGAATTGTACTTGTGCCCCACTGCCGACGCAGCGCTGTCACCGATTTATTGAAAGTTTGGAGATTGAATCTCCAACTTAATCAATGTACAACTTCAGCTCGGAAAGCTTACGAACCGACTGGAGCCTTGGGTGTTGTGCGGATGTGCGCACACCACCGTCAGGCTGATGTCACGTCGCATTGGGGAGCAAGTGCTTCAAAAATCTATCATTCTGTACTCCGCCTTCAAACCTGCACTGACCGGTTTGGTGAAGTTATGGTCAAATGGGCTATTTGGAGGTCCTCAGCCAGCAGTGGAATCCACAATAAAAAGAAACCGGGCTGTAACATGTACACGCAGCGTACAAATGCGACAGCATCTGGAGACGGGGCATACAGGGCATGCTGGGGGTAAGAAGGCGTCAACATTTTATTGTTATAGACTTAAATAGTGAGTCATTAGCAGAGGAAAAGAGGAAGGTCAGCAGATGGCCATTGCAATGTGGTAGGGCAGTGATGGTATCGTTACGACAGCCAGGAACACATATTCAATATCAGGAACTCAGTATATTTAGTACTGTGCAATGAGGAAGCGTCGTTTCCCAACGGTGCCGAGGCGGTCACCATTCCGCGGCGACCCGAGGGCCTCTTTCCGGCCACAACAGCGAGGCGCGGATATGATCGCAAACAGCACTCAGCACTCTCCACAAGACTGCAACGATGACGGGGAGGAGGCCACGATGGCGGGGAGGAGGCCACGATGGCGGGGAGGAGGCCACGATGTGGGAAGGAGGCCACAATGGCATGGAGGAGGCCCTGATGGCGTGGAGGAGGCCGCAATGGCGGAGAAGAGGCCGCGATGGCGTGGAGAAGGCCATGATGGCGTGGAGGAGGCCGTGATGACGTGGAGGAGGCCGTGATGGCGTGGAGGAGGCCGTGATGGCGTGGAGAAGGCCGCGATGATGGCGAGGAGGCCGCGATGATGGCGAGGAGGCCACGATGGCGGGGAGGAGGCCACGATGGCGGGGAGGAGGCCGTGATGGTGGGGAGGAGGCCGCGATGGCGGGGAGGAGGCCGTGATGGCGGGGAGGAGGCCGCGATGGCGGGGAGGAGGCCGTGATGGCGGGGAGGAGGCCACGATGGCGGGGAGGAGGCCGTGATTCACTCACTCAGCTTACACTGACTCAGCTTACACTGACTCACTCACACATCATACACTCGCACAACCACTGACCCATTCACTCATCATACAATGATTCACTCATCATACATTCATAATACGCTGACTCTCTCACACATCATACACTCACTCACACTACCACTGACTCACACATCATACACTGACTCACTTATCATACGCTGACTCACACATCATACACTCACTACCATTGACTCACTCATACATCATACACGGGGAGTGTCATGCTGACAGATATGGCTGCAAGTTTGTTTATACATGTTATGTGAATCGTTTATTGTTAAATTTGAATCAAAGTCCCTATGATTACTGTTGTTACATTGTGTGGGGGCTACCGTCCCCCGCCATCACCGAATTGTCGGGGCCGTTGTCCCCCGACTCCCCCGTTACATTCATACGACTACCCCCCGGCTCTTCTGTGGGGTTCGGGTTACCGACCTCCAACTCCTCGCCCCCCTGTGCCCCTGACTGTGTTGTTGACCGCATAAGCATGGCTCGATTAGTGGGGTCGTCTGCTCTACGCTTCCGATGCGCTACGCTGCTCGGTGGCGGACGTACTGCTGTGGGCACGCCCGCAAAGCAAAACCCCGTCCCGCAAGTGAACAAACGGGTACGGCGCGCCGATGCGTGACTCCCGCATGTGAACAAACAGGTACGACGCGCCGATGCGTGACTCCCGTACGTAAACAAATGGGTACGGTATGCCGACGCGTGACTCCCTCACACGCACGATCTACGCGCCCAGGCAATAACAAACCCGACGCCGCTATCTGCCCAGCCCCGTACACCAATCATACTCGAGGGAGTTGAGGTCGGGGGTGAGAGGGCAAGGGTGTCTGCCGTGCACGCGCCGCTGATTGGGGGGAGTCACTCCGCTCCGATTTAAAGACCGTTTAAACAGCCGCACGTATACGCGCACACCAGGCGCTTAGCTCTCTGCTTCGCTATAAACAACCGCGCATGCACGCGGCCGCAAGACACTCCCATAAACAGTCGCACAGGTACGCAAACGCTAAGCACTCCCATAAACAGCCACACGGGCACGCGAGCACCAAGCACTCCCGTGAACAGTCGCACAGGTGCGCGGACGCTAAGCACTCCCGTAAACAGCTGCGTAGGCACGCGCACGCTAAGCACTCCCGTAAACAACCGCGCGTGCACGCGAACGCAAGACACTCTACCTTTCTCTTCACACTCACAAAGAGACCACACGACACAGTTTACTCCCTACTGGCTATTTTATTCTCCGCGAAAGTCCTGTTAAACTATGTGGGTTTGTGTGGGTCAGTAGACGCTAGCCTGTCCTTCGAGTATCCTAGATTAAATTTATCCTGCCTATTGCTCCACTTTCTACCCTCGATTAAATAGCCCAAACTCACCTCTCTCTTACTTACGCTTACTTCCACTCTGATGCACTGGAAGTTGTAGAAGGGCGATGCTGTGGGTCGTCTCCGTAGAAGATCGTGCCTGGCTGCGTTGAAACTCGTCACACGGACGATCCGAACGTCCGACTCCAATGCTCCGTGGACCTCGATGACTTGAAGAACTCTGCTTTTACTTCCTCAATCACCTGCATTTTATCCTACCTATCACAAAGGCATTCCGCGGTGCCTGCACTTGCGCACCCGTGCCCTTTGATATTCGGATCTACAATCCCACCTATAACAAAAGGCATTCAGTTGCTCCTGCGTCCGTGCCCCCCTGTCCAATCAGAGGCCGAGATATTCCTGTCCCTTTGACATTCGGATCCCTAATCCTACCTATAACAAAAGGCATTCAGTTGCTCCCGCACCCATGCCGCCCTGTCCATTCAGAGGCCTGGTTATTCCTGTCCCTTTGTTATTTGGATTCCTAATACTACCTATGACAAAGGCATCCCGCTGTTCCTGCACCCCGTGCCCCCCTGTCCAATCAGAGGTCTGGATTTTCCCGCCCTCGGATCACCACTCTGGTGACGTCACCGCAGTGGTTTCTTGGACGTCCACTCTCTGTTCTTTCCGCTACTCGTCCACCGACCCGTGTTTCATGTGTGTGCAGTTTCACTCGCGGTGGCTCAACGACCTCTGCCGTGACCACGTAACTTTAATATCAGGTCACGGCGCCGCGGTGCATGTCAGCCTCGGGGGTAGGTCGCCCAATTTCCCGGCCGCAGGAAACCATGAAGCTCTACGTGGGGTGTGCATGCATTCGTGCGAGGGGGCGGCGAGGGGCGCGCCGCGTCGGCGCCGTCACTCCCCGGTGGCGGCGTCACGGCGGTGGGCACGGCACCGAGGGAGCGGCTCCGCTGCAGCGGCACCACAACTGTGTAGAAGGTAAAAAGCGGACGTCTGAGAGAGCACCGGCCTCGGGAGAGTGGCGGGAAATCTGAGGCACCGGTGGCGGCGTCACGGCCGTGGGTACGGCCTCGACGGAGCGGCTCCACTGCGGCGGCACCACACAGCCCCCTGAGGTGCCAGTCCCCGTCCCGGGTTGACTGGAGCACCTCGTCTGGGTTGCCCCTACAAGGTAGCGCCGCAGGGTCCGCGGGACTCGTCCGGCCCTCGTGGCTGGCCTCGGCGGTGGTGGCTCCGTCTCTCGGGGTTCCGGCGGTGGTCTGCTCCTCCACTCCAGTGGTTCTCTCCGGTCCTGGGTACCTGCGGGCTGGGAGACAGACTCGGGGGTGGTAGGGTTCAGGGGCCGTCGTCCCCGTCTCTCCTGGCTCAGGTCGGGACCCCCTGGGGCCCGGGGCTCTGTGGGGCCCATATACTGTGCGAGGCCCCCGGGTATGGGGGGTGTGGGGACCCCGGGGTCTCGGGGTCCTTGAACGGGTTCTCCCTCGCTGGGGCCGCCCTCCATGGTTTTAGTCGCCGGATATTGACCACCATCTCTCGGCCTCTCTCTCCCCCCAGAATCAGTACTGTCCAGGGGGAGATCTGTCACCCTACGGTCCAGGGTCCCCGCCAGTAGGTGGTTAGCTTCCCCGCCTGCCCGGCCCCGACGCGAGGGGTGTGCAGCCATACCTTAGAGCCCGCTGAGTAGAAGGGGGGCTGAATTCGGGGTCGGGCGCCCTGCTCCTGCCGCTGGTGTGCGGCCTCGCCTTGCGGGTAGGCCCGGACCCTAGCTCCTCGTGGGGTCTCCATCAAGTGCTCCACGGGGCGGCTCCCTTCCTCCCATTGCGGCGGAGGGACACCGAACAGCGGATCTGTGGGCAGGCGAGACTCGCGACCAAACATCATTAGGAATGGGGTCTGTCCCGTAGATGTGTGTACTGTGGTGGCATAGGCGAACAGAGCGTAGGGGAGGTGTTCGTCCCAGTCCCATTGATTTGCGGCCGCCATGCATTTAAGCTTCCCGGCCAGAGTCTGGTTCATCCTCTCCACCATCCCATTTGCCTGGGGGTGATACGCCGTAGTTCAGTCCTTCTGGATCCCGAACTCCCGGCACAGCGCCTGGAATAGCTCTGCCTCGAACTCAATACCCTGGTCAGTAATGACTTGTTCGGGGATCCCGTGCTTCAGTACGTAGTGCTCTACGAATGCTCGGGCCACCACGAGGGCTGTCTTATCGGGGATGGCTACCGCTACGGGGTAGCGTGTGAAGTACTCTACCGCTACGAGAATATATCGGTTTCCCCGGTGGGAGCGCGGGAATGGCACTTGCAGGTCGATCCCGACCAGCTGATTCGTTCGACTGACGCGGAACGGTCTCAGGGCTCCCTGATATCGCGCTGGTTTCGGCCCGCATTGCTGACACGCGCGGCAGCCCTGTACCCAGGCGGCCACGTCTTGTGCTAACTTGGGCCATAGATACTGGCGACGCAGGGTCTCCCGAGTGCGCCGTTCCCCGTCATGGCCCCCGAGCGGGTGTTCGTGCACCAGTCTTAGCAGCTGGGGTCGCACCTGGGCGGGAACGCAGATACACCCTGGCTGGCCGGCTTCGGTTAGCTCCTGTACCACCCCATTCTGTACGCACAACCGGGCATACAAACCACTCCAGGGTCCTGGTAGGGCGTCCCTCTTCTCCCGTAGGGCCGCTTCCACTACCGCCAGATCTGGATCCCGCAGCTGGGTCCGTCTCAGCTGCTCGTCGTCCAGGCCCGGGAAGACGCAGCCGACGTCCTCCTGGATCCGATCGGGTGGGGTTGAGCGACCCGTCGGGCCCCGAGGTGTGGGCTCCATGCCCGCCGTGTGGCCCTCCGGGTCCCGGGTCCCTCCTGCCGGGGTCTCTGTGGCACATACTGCAGTCTCTCATCGGAGGAGGGTTAGTCTCAGCACGCTCCTGGAGGCCCGCCACCTGCCGGCAACAGCCCCCGGTGAAGCACGGGCAGGCTTCCTCCGTTCTTGTCTTGGCGCACACCGCGGGCCGTCTCGACAAGGCGTCCGCGTTCGCGTGCGTCCGCCCTGCTCGGTACTCAATTTGCAGGTTATACTCCTGCAACTGCGTCAACCATAGGGCCATCTGCCCCCGTGGTTCCTTGAACGTAAGGAGGAACTGCAGGGCATAATGGTCGGTGCGCACCCGACATTTCCTGCCGTACAAATACAGTCGGAACTGTTTACACGCGAAGATCATGGCATACAGTTCTTGACGGGTCACGCAATAATTCAGCTCGGCCCCACTCAGGGTCCGACTGGCGTATGCGATGACTCGCTCCATCCCACCCTGCACCTGTGATAGCACCGCGCCCAGCCTACTGCTGCAGACGTCGGTGTCTAAAATAAAATCAGTGGTGAAATCGGGAAAAGCCAGGGTGGGGGTGTGGGTGAGGTGGTCTTTGAGGGTGGTGAAGGCCGTCTGGCAGGCCTCCGTCCACTGATAGGGGTTCTTAGGGGAGGTGAGTTATGTGAGGGGGCATGCAATCTCGCTGAATCCCTTTACAAATCGACGATAATAGGTGGCGAGCCCCAAGAATGATCTGATCTCCGTCAGGTTCCACGGTCGTGGCCATTCTACTATGGCGCGCACTTTCTCTGGATCGGTGCGCACCCCTGCTTCGCTTACTCGGTGTCCGTAGTACCCCACCTCGCGCTGCGCAAGGTAACACTTACGTGGCTTGAGCTTGAGATGGGCTGCTTGTAATCGCTGGAACACCTCTCGCAGCCTGGACCAGTGTTCAGACAGAGATCTACTGAACACTATCACGTCGTCCAGGTAAATCAGGCACTGTTCCCACTGCAAGCCCCGCATCACCAACTCCATCAACCGCTGGAACATCGCGGGAGCGTTAGTGAGTCCGAACGGAAGCACTCGAAACTCAAACATTCCCATCGGGGTGGTAAATGCGTTTTTTGGCCAATCCTCCTCCGCCATCTCCACCTGCCAGTATCCGGACGCCAGATCGAGGGTGGAAAAATACCGTGGTCCTGCGAGGCTGTCAAAGGTGTCGTCGATGCGTGGTATGGGGAAGGCGTCGCCGAGGGTGACTGCGTTCAACTTTCGGTAATCAACACAGAATCGGGCCGACCCATCCTTTTTCGTCACTAGCACCACCGGGGCAGACCAGGGGCTCGCCGAGGGCTGGATTATGTTATCATGTAGCATATCCGCGACTGCCTCTTTGATCTGGGTCCGTTCAGGCGCGCCCACTCGGTATGCGGGGAGTTTGATGGGTCGGGCTGCACCCGTGTCAATTTGGTGCTTAACAAGGTCTGTCCGGCCCACATCTGAATTGTGCTCACTGAACACGTCGGCGTACTCCTGCAATAACCCGTGCAGTTGGTCGGCCTCCCCCTTAGGTAAATCTGCCCAAGGTACATGTAACGCATCATGCAAGGGGACGATCTCGGCCCGGGGGGTCGGGCCGACTCGCCAGGCCAGGTCCTGATTGTCCTCGGGGCGGCCAGGGTCCTCCGCCCAGAGGGCAAACACCGAGTCGTTAGAGTGTCGCGCGTGCAGGGGGTGTATGGTAGCTACCGTGGTGCGTCGTCGTAGCATTGCCGGGGTACTGTGTGGGTTAAACACCCGCATAAACAGTCGGCCCCCATCTGCGTTTAGCAGCGTGGCTGACCCCACAACTCCATACCGCGCCGCCAACTCCGGGTGAGGAGTTAACATTACCTTGCCCGATGGTCGATGTGTGGGGTCGGTGGAGGGGGTTGCCACTGGCACCAGCATCTCGGCGAGTGGCCCGATGGTGACGGCCGACACCAGGGTGGCGGCCACGGGTGTGAAGCGAGGGCGATTCCGCTCTCGTCCTAGGAACGGAATTCGCTCCCCGCTGCCTTCCACCATGGCGCATCACTGGCGGGGCTGTACGTTGAGCCTCAGCTTCTCCAGGAGGTCCGTACCTGCAATACACTCGTGGCACAACACACTCGAGACGTAGAATTCCTGTGTGCACACCTGGTGTCCGAGACGGACCTCGAGGGAGATCCTTCCCAGCAACCCCATCCCGGCTCCGCTCGCTGTGTGCAGCGCTCAATCCGGGGCCTGCAGGTGGCTCACGTCAACCCCGAGCATGCTGCAGTGTGTGGCGCTCAAGAGTGAGGCTACGGCCCCCGTGTCCAGTAGGATCTGGGTGCGCTTCCTGTTCACCTGTCCTTCTACCAGTGACGTGGCCCCCGTGATCCCCGCCACCAGCTCCCATAGCCAGTCGCCCGTCCTCACCGCGTCCTTGGGTGTTGTGGTCGGAATCTGTGCGGGGGTCACTCGCTCACCATTATTACTATCGTTGTTTTGTTTTGGGACCTCGTCGATTGCACCCTTAGGTGGTCCACTCTCTAGGGGGCGTTGGCGTTTAACCCTGGCGCCTGTCTAGTGCGGGCGATTTGAGGACAGTCTCTCACGAGGTGCCCGCGGCGGTCGCACAGGTAACACGCTCGGGGAAGGGCGGTGGCCCCGTAGGAGCTTCCCCGCACGCTCCCTCTTTCCCCTCCCGTACGCCGCTGCCCAGACTCTGCCTCTAGTCGGGCCACCCTCCCGGCTAGCCCCCCTACCGTGGAGCGCATTTCCCCCATTTCCGACTGAATGGTCTCCACTGTGGACTGTAGTTTGGTGATATGGCCACCAACTTGGGTCACCTGGCCGACTATATCACCCATGCCGGTCTGTAGCCCTGCTACCCATCCCGGGGTTGTCTCGCGGGCTACCGGGGGCTCCCTTTCCCGACCCCTTACCGTCGTGGCGAGCTCCTGTTCCTCCTCTTCCTACTCTAACGACAGGCTTGCGATGGTGCGCTCTCTTCCCAGCCCCCGGAGCTGCGCGCGTTCGCTGGAAATTCCTTCACATTTACGCGCGCGCTCGACAAGGGCGTTAAAGGGGAGACGTGTATAGCTCATGTCTGGCTGCCACCACGACGTGCGAGTCAAGTATCGCTGGATCTTCTCAGCGGCAAGCTCCTCAATCATCTCTGTCGTGTATCCCAGGTGTGCGATCTTTGTTAGCTCGCGCACATCCTCGGCATAATCACGCAGGTCCTCGCCGGGTTGGCGGTAGCGTGCCTCTAAGGCTGCTTTTGCCTACTCCTCATCACGCGTACCGAAACGCAGATCAAGTCGGCGCATCAGTTCCTCTAGCTGTGTCTGCGCGCTTGTGGGTAGGGCTTCCACAAAATTGGCTGCCCGCCCATCCAGGTTCATAATAAGTTGGCGTAACGCCTGCGCGTCCGTCCACCCATTAATCTCTTTAGCCCCTATGACGTTGCGGGCGAATGCCTTCCACCAAGGAGCCCCCCGGCTGGTAAATATATGCCATATTTTTGCGTGGGGTAACGCGGGGGTTCGTACCGCTTCTGACGCCAAACTGTGGGGGCTGCCGTCCCCCGCCATCACTGAATTGTCGGGGCCGTTGCCCCCTGACTCCCCCATTACATTTGTACTACTACCACCTGGCAGTTCTGTAGGGTTCGGGTTAGCGACCTCCAACTCCTCGCCCCCCGGGGCCCCTGACTTTGTTACCGACCGCGTTGGCATGGCTCAATTAGTGGGCTTGTACGCTTTACTCTTGCGGCGCGCTACGCGGGTTCAGTGGCGGCGTGCTGCGGTGAGCGCGCTCGCGAAGCAAGACTCTGTCCCGTACGTAAAAAAATGGGTACGGCGCACTGATGCGTGACTCACGTACGTGAACAAACGGGTACGGCGCGCCGATGCGTGACTCCCGCACGTGAACAAACGGGTACGGTATGCCGACACATGACTCCCTCACACACATGCTCTACGCGCCCAGGCAATAACAAACCCGACGCCGCTACCTGCCCAGCCCCGTACACCAATCACACTCGAGGGAGTTGGGGTCGGGGGTGAAAGGGCAAGGGTGTCTGCCGTGCGCGCGCCGCTGATTGGAGGGAGTCACTCCGCTCCGATTTAAAGACCGTTTAAACAGCCGCACATATACGCGCACACCAGGCGCTTAGCTCTCTGCTTCGCTATAAACAACCGCGCATGCACGCGGCCGCAAGACACTCCCGTAAAGAGTCGCACAGGTACGCGAACGCTAAGCACTCCCGTAAACAGCCGCACGGGCACGCGAACGCCAAGCACTCCCATGAACAGTCGCACAGGTGCGCGAACGCTAAGCACTCCTGTAAACAGCTGCACGGGCACACGCACGCGCACGCTAAGCAGTCCCGTGAACAATCGCACAGGTGCGCGAATGCTAAGCACTCCCATAAACAGCCGCGTAGGCACGCGCACGCTAAGCACTCCGCCTCGTTGTAAACAACCGCGCGTGCACACGAACGCAAGACACTCTACCTTTTTCTTCACACTCACAAAGAGACCACACGACAGTTTACTCCCTAATGGCTATTTTATTCTCTGCGAATATCCTGTTAAACTACGTGGGTTTGCGTGGGTCAGTAGACGCTAGCCTATCCTTCGAGGATCCTAGATTCAATTTATCCTGCCTATTGCTCCGCTTTCTACCCTCGATTAAATAGCCCAAACTCACCTCTCTCTCTTACTTACGCTTACTTCCAATCTGATGCGCTGGAAGTTGTAGAAGGGCGATGCTGTGGGTCGTCTCCGTAGAAGATCGTGCCTGGCTGCGTTGAAACTCGTCACACGGACGATCCGAACGGCCGGCTCCAATGCTCCGTGGACCTCGATGACTTGAAGAACTCTGCTTTTACTTCCTCAATCACCTGCATTTTATCCTACCTATCACAAAGGCATTCCGTGGTGCCTGCACTTGCGCACCCGTGCCCTTTGATATTCGGATCTATAATCCCACCTATAACAAAAGGCATTCAGTTGCTCCTGCATCCGTGCCCCCTGTCCAATCAGAGGCCGAGATATTCCTGTCCCTTTGACATTCGGATCCCTAATCCTACCTATAACAAAAGGCATTCGGTTGCTCCCGCACCCGTGCCGCCCTGTCCATTCAGAGGCCTGGTTATTCCTGTCCCTTTGTTATTTGGATTCCTAATCCTACCTATGACAAAGGCATCCCGCTGTTCCTGCACCCCGTGCCCCACTGTCCAATCAGAGGTCTGGATTTTCCCGCCCTCGGATCACTGCTCTGGTGACGTCACCGCAGTGGTTTCTTGGACGTCCACTCTCTGTTCTTTCCACGGTGGCTCAACGGCCTCTGCCGTGACCACGTAACTTTAATATCAGGTCACGGCGCCGCGGTGCATGTCAGCCTCGGGGGTAGGTCGCCCAATTTCCCGGCCGCAGGAAACCATGAAGCTCTACGTGGGGTGTGCGTGCATTCGTGCGGGGGGGCGGCGAGGGGCGCGCCGCGTCGGCGCCGTCACTCCCCGGTGGCGGCGTCACGGCGGTGGGTACGGCCTCGACGGAGCGGCTTCGCTACGGCGGCACCACAATTGTATTTTATAGCTTTATTTTGGTGATTTCTAAAACATATGGTTAAGCCATGTTTCTTGCGGAAGTGCGGAGTTGGCCTGCGGACTTGAACCTAAATTGTCTTATGGTTGTTATTGTTTGTCTTGCATCACACTGGGATTTTTGCACACAGCGTTGTAATACGGTGTTTTTTTCTGGAAGATTTGCTGGTTTATCCAGGATGTTTCTGTTGCGCGTCGTCGCTTTAAGATGTTCTCTGTTCATATTTTGTTTGTTGCGGTTGCACCCGACTCAAGAGCCGCATGGCTCACAAGTCACAGGGCTATACCTAATAAATGAAACTTGAAACTTGAATACATTTTTGCAATTTAAGGCAGTGTTATTGACGACTGTGAGTTTTATGTCGTTTGGGTTTGTGGACCACTGCCAACGATCCAGCATCACCAAATCATGTTTCGTAACAACAATAGATTGTAAAACCAACGTGCGCCCTCTCTGGGTCAGCGTTATGACCCTCAGTTAACTCCGCAATCCATGCCGATTACATGGATGTCATTACTACAGCATAACAAACTTACCGTGCAGCAGTTGGGTCTGGACCTCCTCAGTAACACCGTTTTGCAGAGCTGTAAATGATCGAATTGTGCACGTGCAGTGCGGGCCTTTTTTTCCAACCAACTGTTGTATGGAGTGCTTCTCCACCTCCGTGCGGCTCTTGTGGAGTTATTTGACCTCCACTACGCTGGCCATTGCGGGATAGTGAAGGCTGGGAGAATGGACGTTGGAACATAGTACAGTCCTGGACAACACATTATGAATCTCGGGTGCACATTAATAAATGTGTCCAGATTAACATGAAGGCATTCGCGATCAATATTGTCCGTAGAGGTTTTTTGCCTTAGATATTGCATGAATATAAATGTGTCGTTTAACCCGCCACCACCCGACACAGCAAATTAGTCAGGCGTCCAGTTTGGGAAGGAAGTTGGAACATAGTACAGTCCTGTACAACAAAAACATTCTCCATTGCCCTTTGCTGCGAATGTAGTCCCGCAGCAGCTGAAGACGCCAGTTTAATTATTTATTTATAAACACTGTCCACGCTCAACCCTAGGGGCTTAGCTTCCAGTTAATTTGGTAATATGCAAACTGTAAATTGTTTATACAATCTGTTCAGACTTGTTCAATGAAGGTAATGTAAATCCTACCCAATGAATAGCCAATGGGAATGGCGATAAGTGCTTTGCTATTAAGCCAGTGTGTTGTAGGACGTTAACTTTGGGTTGAAAGGTCTGCTAGAGTGTGAGCTTTGATGTCGATCATCTCTAATGCCAGAAATATTTGTTGTATTGTACTATGCAGGAATGGAAATGGCTGCAAAGACAAAAAAAGTTAAGACAACTCCTGTTATCCGCGAATCTGTACTGGAATCCGCGACTCAAATTATCCGCGGGGGGGGGGGGCTGTAGGGTCCACAGAAACTGTCATTATCCACGGCTTTTCAATTCCTGTATTTCGGAACGGTTTCCAATAAATCTGCCAGTTCTTTTTATTGCAGATAAGTGGAGGAAAATTGCCGATAACCTCACGGATAATAGGATACACGGTATTGGTTCCCCCATATCACCATGGATTAGGGGAGTTCTGTAATGACCAATGTTGGTTTTGGGCTGTGCCATGTCGTAGTTTTGTGCCAAATTATGTTCATGGACTCTCCACCACCCAACACGATTTTTTTTCCCGTTTACAAAGATATTATTTATACGTGCCGCTGTATTGATCAAATTCTGACCAACAAAAAAGCTTAACCACCGGGTGGCTGAAGAGTGGTTAACGACGTTTTCTTTACTTCCACCCTGTGCGATGCCCGCGCGTTTGCAATTGTGCACTTTCAAGTTTTATGTCGGCACATTCTTGACGAAAAATATTTGTTCCCCTCGTGAGATGTTGGCGTTGGATCGATCCGCGTAAAACACACACACACACCACCACCACCCACGGGCATGTTCACCGCAAATGGATGAACTGGTTGGAACGGGCGTGGATTCTGGACGGCAGACACTCGCCCGGGGGGCGGATTTGTGATAGCCAATCGGGTCGCCGCCACACAGCGTGGTTTCCCAAGCCACGTTTTGGGAACCCACCGGTAATCATACACTGCGTGGGTCAGTTGTTTGGTGTTTTGAGTAAGACACAGCTCCAGGTAACCGTCGTTGCTGACTCTTTTGTTCAAATAGCTTGTTGCTCTGTGTGTGTGTTTGCTTTCTGGACATTGTTCGGGTGGGGGGGGAGGGTAATTATGAATACAATTCGATGTAATGCACGTCTTTGTGCAACAATGGAGTGTTGAGATGAATGTCTCACCAATGCAAATGATGTTCTCGGATCGACTTGTAAACGTACCAAAGCGTTGAGCTCACCGTAATCCAGTGTGTTACTATTTCACGTTTAATATTTGTTGAAAGAAAACTGCAATGACGGAGAGAGTCACCTATTTTTTGTTAAAATGTTCCCCCCGTTGTGTTTGTCTCACGTTAATAAACGCTGGGACTATTGTTGTAAACTAAAGTTCTCAACCGCATAACGATTCGTGCGTGAAGGCAACCAACATGTGAATATAACGTCGTTCGGTTCCATATAAGCAAGAGTTTGGAGTAAACGTATCAACTTAGTAATAAACAACACATTGTTTAACATGCACATGCTCTGTGTTGTCTAAATCGCGTGCAGGTCACGTGTATTGTTTAAAACTAGTTCTGATTTGTTTTGCCTTATGGTGTAGAGAGAGGATCGCGTTGGCATCACATTCCACAAAGGCATTCGCTTTTAAAGGGGTTACACAATTGAAGATTGTAAAGCACGCCCATACATGTACCGATAAATGCACATAGACGGTAAATTGGCGTTATAGACATTTCTCACGTTAAGTTTAGGTGGTACTCGGCATGTATTTGGTTGTATTCTTTGGGTCTTTCGGTAAAGTCACGTAGATAGGTTCAAAGACAATAAAAAACTACGATGTTTCGATCGCAACACAAGCCGGTCGTCATCAGGAAAATCAGCAAAATGACCACCGCTTTTGTGTGCGGTCGAAAAGTCGTAGCTTTTTTTTGTTTATTATTTTCTTTGAACGTATCTACGTGACCTTTACCGAAAGACCCAAAGAATATGAATTCCTGCAGTCACGAAAGCTTTAAGTCAAGATATATTTGGTTACTCACGGAAATCGTGCAATGAATATGTAGTCTAGTACTGTGATGCGACTGCTAACCTACGTGGGAATGGACATGCAACGTGTCAAGGTTTCTCTGGCAGTAATTGTACTCGTAAAAAGAATGCAATCTCTCGCACATTGGGCACACGACCAACACCAGTGACGATTATCTGGACCGGTCCTGGGCCCTCGCATCGGTCGACTTGGCCTCAAACGAGTACCTGGTGCGGTGTGTAAAAAAAACCAACAACACATCGCCACTTGGGAGACGGCAGGGCATGGTGCTGTCCACCCAAACCCCTCGTGTGCCGTTCCGACATTCATCGGTGCACGTCAACAGCACTATGCCCCCCAACAGTCTGTTAAGGCTTTCGGGGGTGATATTTCTCTCCGTAACTCTATAGGCATGCAGCAGCAGCAGCAGGGGACCAAGCGGTGGGATGAAGGGCATCCGGCGACGAAACTGCAACTTATGGCGACCGCGCTGACCTGCCCTGTGACCTCACGCCGTCTCGCCGAGCACCTTGACGCGACGGACTCCCTCCGTGGCTTCCGCGAATCCTTCCACGTGCCCCGTATGCGCGACCTGTCCGCCGGTGAGATGGGGCAACCCCAGCAAGGTGCTCGGTTCGTCACCTAACTGCACGCCAAATGCTTTGGCTGTGTGTGACTTATAATCATGTCGCGTCCTTCACCTCTTTTTTTTTAGGGGGGGTGGTGGTGGGGAGGTCAATAAAGTTAGTCTCGCCTGTTTGGGGAAGTCCGTAGCGGGGAAAAGTCAAACGGAGCCAGTGTCATAACAATGTGGACTTTGTACCATTGCATCACTGTCACTAAACGAGACGAACGCTACACCGTGTTATAGCAGGGAAACTGACTTTTTTGTTGTTGTCAACTTTGGTACAGATGCGGTTGTTCGGCAACAAACAAATATGATCAAAAGTCAAGATTCAGGATCGCGATTCAGTTCATGTTTGGATTATTGTGTCTCTTTTTTGCTGGCTCAATTTCTATTCTTTCTCGTTTTGACTCGTATGTACAGTTCGCATTAAATGGAACGGCGTATAATTTCCAAATGATTTGCATGAATTGTCAATGAGCAGGTCTCGCACACACACAATATGCAGTGAGTCTACGGATTGGTTTTAATCCATGACTCGTTACATGCGTAATATTAATATTAACCCTGTCTATAAGATGGGGACTGGGTTAAGCATCTTTCACTAAATCAGGAGTGGCCCACGGCCGCATAACGCCGAGCACATTGAAACGACCCGCAAACGGAATTTACCCGTCACTGCAAGCACACCTTAGCTCTAATAATCTGATATAAGAGGGGAATATTTTCAACTTGGCAACACCACGTTTATAAAATCAGCAAGCTTTGTCACTTCTCTTCACACTTGGTCGTCATGCACAACATTTTTAGGGTCATTGCATGACGCTAAGGTGCGTGTTCATGCCTGGCCCTGCCAAAGGGATTTTAAAAGTCCTATTTAACCCTTGGTAAAGGAACGTTTCCCCACCCCTGCATTAAATAATTAAGCGTCAATCAAAAAAAATATATAATTGCTACAAAAAACATCTGTCCTTGTGTTCCCCCGTGCTAGTGGACAAGTCACTGCTGGAAGGAGACATGGACCAGGAGTGCGTGTACCTGGCGGGAAACTCGCTGGGGCTGATGCCGCGTGCTGTCCGCACTGTTTTGGAGGAGGAGCTGCACAAATGGGCCACCACGTGAGTCTTCTTCCTGCCGTTTTTCATCCAAGTGGGGGCTCTGCCATTCCCCCCCGTGCTCCATCTGTTCCTTTCTTGGGCCACCACATTCACCTTCATGCCACATCCCTCTATATCCTGGCTCACCACTTAGAGCCACCTCTTTCTCTGCTCGCCTCACAGTCTTCACCTTAGTGCAACGAGAGTCGCTCGAATGGGAGTCGCTCGAATAGGAGTCACTCATAGAGCTACATTGAGATCTCCGTAACTTATTGTCGAGAATCTTTTTTTTTAATCCTTGATAAATCTGATGAGCTATGAAGCTCTTTTTCACAGATGTACATTAGTATAGAGTTACATAGCGATCGATAGTTACATAGAGACTCATAGAGTTACATAGAATAACTCTGTTAGTTTGTTCTCCTTTCCCCGCACCTTCGATTAGCACGGTTGGCTACATGCAGTGCGAAAGAAGTGTAACATACATTGTGCTTTCATTTTAATCATCTTGCTTCTGAAGTGATTTTCTTATTTTCTTATGACATGTCTGAGCTGTCGGAGTTACATTTCTTTCAGCTTCTCTGAGATGGGCCCAACTTTCGCCTTCTTCCCTCATCTCTCAGTTTCTGACCCCATCTAAGTCGAGTGATATCTGATAATCATCTTGTCATTCTCATTTCTGTGGTGTACATCAGCTGTTCTTCCCTGGGGTTTAGAGTCCAATATTGCTCACGTGAGTACTTGTCTGAAAATTCCATAACTCTCCGGCTTCTTTCCCAATTGCAATATTTAGAGTTTCACGAAGCCGGTGTGTGCTGCCTTACAGGGGGGTGTATGGACACCATGAAGGTGCCAGGCCCTGGGCTTTGTGCGACGAGATTCTCACTGCCAACATGGCCACAATCGTAGGTATGACAATGCATTGCATGGCTCACACCTTTATATTTTACATAAATTTGCCTTGGCTCATTGAGGTTTGATAATTTTTTGTTCAAAGTATAATGCATAATATAGCATGCATGGACTTGTGACCGCGAACAAAACCAACACTGTATGTTACATTGTTGAGATGCTTTAAGCAATCTAGCACGTTTTACTGTTTGGAGCTGCTGGTATGTAATGGCTAGCACATGGGACAGGATGCTGTATGCTCGGGGTGCGAGTCACAGGACATCCCACAAAATAAAAATCCAAACAGTCCCGGCCACGTTTATCAGCTGCCGCTGAGCACCATATTCACATCCATGCTCAGCAGTAGCCAACAGCACGAGAAGCCCCTCTGCATGTTGCTCGTTAGCCAATCATGCACGGATAGCAGACCCGACACATAGCGCGGGAGACTTGATGACATCACAGCCAACCCAGGCTGTGATTGTCTGTTGGCTGAAGAGCTCAGCTTTGCAGAAATGCCTTGTGAATACATTCATAAAGCGTTGCTTTGTATCTGGCCAAGTTTGAAAATGCGAATCAGTTCTCTCATGCCTTACTCGTAGGTTCCATTGAATGTGCACCGAGATCGCTTTGGCAGCCACGACAAGTGACTGCAACGACACCTGAACAGTTCCCCCCAAGGGTGGCACGTCAATGGGGCACGCTCGTTACCTACCGTGCACGTGCAACCCTACTCCATAGCGCCATCAAAATATGTTGTAAAGTCTCGCTCTAGCTCTGAGCAGCCAAGACTTTTGCACACACGTGGAGGGGGTAGTGAGAGGCAAGTGAATTGGCTGGGTGTGCGAATTCCCAAACGGAAGCCACGGTCACTTTAGTCGTCATGCAGGTAACTGAAAGGGCCGGTAATCGCCGGCCACCTATGAATCTCACGGATTTTGGTGGCAGCTGCTGGCAAAAGCGCCTATTATCTGCGGTTCTGAAATGTGCATAAGTAAACTCGCAACACTAACAGTTGGACGTGGTGACGTTCAGGAGCGGAGGCCCATGAGGTGGCGGTGATGAATGGCCTGTCCATTAACCTGCATCTTCTGATGGTAAGAGCTGCACTGGTTCAGGGTTTAAGGTGGCTTCTAACTTGTAAGTGAGGGTTTATTGGTTTTTGGGGCGGTGAAATGGCCTAGCATCGGCGCGTTCGCCGCTTCTTGAAGAGGGTCAAGGTTTGAATCCATTAACCGCCTGGTTATTACTGCAGGTGCGTTAATAATAAAATATACGCCATCTGCATTAGGGTGGAGGTTAAATATAGCGTGACATCTTTGGCAAAAGTAGGGCATTTAATCAGGTGTCATGATTCACATTTGCTAAATTAGAAATTACCCACAAATACATTGGGGAGCTTTTTGTGTAAGATCGCGTAAATATAGACGTGTCGATAAACCCGCCACCACCCGACACATTTAAGCAATCTAACCCAAAAAAAATTATTATGGATAATATTGGTCGTGAAAGCCGACGTGTTAAACTAATCCATTCAGCAAGTATCGCCCCCTATTGGCAGACCACAGAGCTTGGTCAGTTGTTGGCGCCCTGCTGGCTGCCTTTCCACGTGTCTGGCATCCCATGCCTCCGTTCGAAAACTGTGTACACGTTACAAATTGCGCAGCGTTGCAAATTGGATTAGTGACGCTCCATAAAGTAACGCATAATATTTATATGAACAACGCTGAAAACTATCTTTGTGTGTTTGTGAAGGGAAGTGCCTTCGTTGCTAGCGCAATACGAAGTGACCTTGTACTATTCCAGGCAATGTACCACACAAGTAGGAGATGGAACCTGAATGTGATCCATGCCTCCCCTATGTTGACTTGGCCAAAAAATGTGTGGTTTCAAGGTTATTTGTTTTAATCAGGTGAGAGCTCAAGAGACCAGGATTGCCTTATTTGCAAGAGTGCCATGGGCCACCGAAATTAAAAAGCAAAACAGCACAGCGATAAAGCAAAACAACTGTTACATGCAAAATCGGAAAAATCTCACAAACTTAAATCAATGTATAAAAAAACTTCCCTGTAGCGTAAATTGTTTAGGGTAAAAAAAATTTCGATTGATCATAGCATCATTTCATTTATACTTTTGAAACACTGCACATATATAAGGTGGCTACTATACTAATATGTAAATGGAATAGGATTATTTGAGAAATGCAATTGCAAGTGAGGTTATCAACAAAATGAGAGCTCAGCATCAAATCGTGATTTAGATGTCAGAGTGACCATGAACATTTGTGAAGCGATGGATTTCCAAGTGTTTCGAACATTAACAGAGAAACATGCCCGCTGAGTCTACACTGAGTTTATGGGCATCTGTGCAAGTCTATGGGTCTCTGTGTGTCTACTTGAAGTGATGGATTCCAGATGTTTGGGCCATTATCAGAGCATGAGTGAGAATTGTGTGAGTTTTTTTTTTACCTCGGTGCAGTGCGCTTTAGTGCTGTGAGTAGCTGGTCCCATGTGTTAACATTAGCACTCGGAAGTCAAATGCAGCTGCTGGTTATGGTGGTGGATCCACCACCTCCTCGTGTGTTATGCAGAACCTAACGGATACTCGCCAGCAGTGCTCGCTCCGACCGTCTATAAGGTCACGATTGAGGCATCAGCCTTCTCTTATATTGTGTGATTTCACGTGTGTACCTTTCAGCTGGCATTTTATAAGCCCACTGCACAGCGATACAAGATCATGCTGGAAGCCAAATCGTTCCCATCAGACTATGTGAGTAATCGTTTTCGTTGTATATTAACGATGAGCGCTGTAACAGTGCATTGAACGTGTGCGAACGCAGTTTATTGATTATATATTGGGAGGGCAAGGTGCTTGGCAGGGCCCGTCTCTACTTGTCAGTCCTGCGCCAGGGACAATCTTTACATAGCACGTGTAAACAAGCGCAGCAGCAACGTGTGCCGTGTTTTAACGGTGCCAACAGCACCCGAGGTGGCCAGGAGATGGCAGCGTCATCCCTCATCAGCGCGCATTCTCGTGGTGCTCGGGTTTCCTCCCACATGCCACTCAATGATATTGGTCAAACATCGCCTCAATACAGGAGCCTCTCTGAAGAAAAAGAAGAAGAAAAAAAACCTTGACCCATTAAAGCCTTCGTGAGTAAATAATTGGCGCACTATTATTCCCGTTGTAAGCAATGGGTGGTACCGTTTTCAGTTGCGGCGATTATATTGTGTTGCGTGCTTCACTTCCCCGAAGCACTTTGCTCACCCACCGCATCTCCACCCCCCACCTTCTCACCTCGCCTCCCAAACAGTATGCGATGGAGTCTCAGATTCGACTGCGTGGCCATGACCCAGAGAAGACCATGCTGCAGATATTGCCTCGTCAGGTCAGCAGTCATTGTTGCTGGAGAAACACGTATTGTCCCGTGGGAGGTGGCATTTTGAAGGGGTAAATGTTTTTGCGCGTGTGTGTACGTTGAACTTCCTTCGCACCGTTATGTAGTTAACCGTGCTAATCGGAGGTGCAGGGAAGGACAACAAACTAAACAATAGAAAAGTGAATAAATACAAGAGAATAATTCGAGATTGGAGTCCATTAAATCAGTCCTCCCATCGTTCATGTCATGGGACATTACGAAACCGATAAACAGGATCACAATCGCGGTGATTGCTGCTTTCTAGAAATAATATTTTGCTTGTGTAGTATTTTATTAATTGTTGCCAGCCTGCCCATACGTTTCTGTCCGATGACTTTCTCAAGTTTACAGAACTTGTAAGAGTCGATTTAGGGTTACATGTTGTCTACACATCCATTGGCAGCATGCACACTCGTCTGCCTGCACACCCCTTGCACTGTTGACAAAGCATGTAGACCATTCACCTCACCTCCAATCAACCCTGACCCAACATTTAAATCAATTTCCATGATTCACATTCATGGCTCGATTCTGGAATTTACTTGTTTTTGTTTTCCCCTTCTAATTTTATTACCATATCATTTGTATTGTTTCCCATTTATTCTGTCTCATTTTGTAACATTTTGTTTGCTCAATTGCCTGAATGTAACAGAATATAATTTGAACACCATTTGCATAAATTATAAATAATCGGTTCTCACGCAATGTGATGCTTGTATCACGAACGTAAGATTAGCACGGTTGGCTACTTACGACGCGAAAAGAAGTTCGACATACATGCAATAATATCTTCAGCGAAATCGTCACGTGCCCGCTGCTCACTCGTGTACTTCTTAATGAGCGAACCACCCCATGCACTCTCACCGCAAACTTCCCAACTCCGCTTCCCGCACCTCCTTGCCCGGCTTAGGGGGAGGAGACACTGCGTCCTGAGGATGTGCTGGAGATCCTGGAGAGGGAGGGAGACTCTATCGCCCTGGTCCTCTTCGGTGGCGTGCAGTACTACACGGGACAGCTCTTTGACATGCCCGCCATCACCCATGCTGCACACACCAAGGTGCTCACACATGCACGTGCCTGCGTGCATTGTGAGGAGTGGAACGTGTCACCCTCCCCCACCCCCTCCAGAGATTTTCCAAGTTGTCGCAATTAAGTTTTTGTGGTTCCATCTACGAATTCATTTTTTTTATATATATGTATATATGTTGCGGTGAACGATGGCATCTTGTTGAAGCAGGAAAACTCTGAACCAGTTTAGTGGGCTGTTCAATGCTGTTGGGTAAAACCCCTTGACAAACACTGACAACCCATCCAGTGCAGTACAGAAAAGTTCTACGTAGTGTATTCTACATTTTTGCGGTAGATTGTGTATATTGACACAATGAAGTAACCAGACAAGGCAGTAGCTTAGCGTTGTTGGCATGGGCCCTGGTACAATGAATGAAATTGACCTCCACCGTCTATCCAATTTTTCCCTTCTTGATAACGTAGCGTCTGGGCCCCTCCTGGCCCCTGGGCCCTGGTGCAGTTGCACCGCCTGCACGCTGGATAGCTACGCCAACTGCCAGACACAAGGCTCTGCGCACGAGCATTTCCCGCGGGGTCGCCGTGTGGTTTCCGCGTGTATGTGTTTTGAAATTCTTTCGCACCGTACGTAGCCAACCGTGCTAATCGGAGGTGCGTGGTTGTAAGAGCAGGGCTGCCTGGTGGGGTTTGACCTTGCGCACGCCGTGGGGAACGTGGAGATTTTCTTGCACGAGTGGCAGGTGGACTTCGCCTGCTGGTGCTCGTACAAGGTGAGCGCTCGCCTCGTCCCCCCCACTCGCCGACATCCTGGCTCCTCTCGTATAGTCGCCGTACAGTCGGCAAGCATCAACTCCAGCACAATGCTTAATCCTCTTGTGCATGAATTAATTAAAATCAAGACCAAAGATTTGTTGTGGTTTCATGTGGCTTTAGGAATCAAAGGGAATCCCCGAATGCATGTACAGTATATCTTATTGTTGTCCACCTCGGGATACGGGGAGCAAGAGACTGATGATGATGACCTCGATGGATGTGATGCATGAGTGGGTAAAGGAAAATTCATTATTAAATCGTGAGGATAATTTCTCAAGGGACACCTGGACCTATTAAGCATGCGTCTTTATATGTATAGGCAGGTGCCTGCAGAGATATATTCTCTCTTCAAAGACATGCCTGTCTCTCATAAGGATCAGCTTTTTTTTTATATATAACAGTGTCTGTGTGAAGCTGAACAGATACAATCTTTACTTTGCAAGTTTAACCTGAATGTAACAGATGGAAGATAACTTTAGAACTGTACTGGAAATGTAAGGTAATAATAATCATTCAAATTCCAGTTACAATTACAGGTAAAATCAAGAGGTTTGAGACGAAATACAGTGATAGGGTTAGACAAAGCAGACGAACGTTTAGACCAGGGGTGGGGAACCTTCTTCCTGCCAAGGGCCATTTGGATATTTATATAACATCATTCGCGGGCCATACAAAATTATCAACTTAAAAATTAGCCTGTTATATTTGGTCAAAGATTTAATTAACTCGCCCCTAATGCGATGGCTGGAACTGCTTCTCTTTGGCGAGGCGTGTGATGTTAGCTGGTATTGATGATGTTAGCTGGTGTTGATGATGTTAGCTGGTATTGATGATGTTAGCTGGTGTTGATGATGTTAGCTGGTATTGATGATGTTAGCTGGTGTTGATGATGTTAGCTGGTATTGATGATGTTAGCTGGTGTTGATGATGTTAGCTGGTATTGATGATGTTAGCTGGTGTTGATGATGTTAGCTGGTGTTGATGATGTTAGCTGGTATTGATGATGTTAGCTGGTATTGATGATGTTAGCTGGTATTGATGATGTTAGCTGGTATTGACGATGTTAGCTGGTATTGATGATGTTAGCTGGTATTGATGATGTTAGCTGGTATTGATGATGTTAGCTGGTATTGATGATGTTAGCTGGTATTGACGATGTTAGCTGGTATTGATGATGTTAGCTGGTATTGATGATGTTAGCTGGTATTGATGATGTTAGCTGGTATTGATGATGTTAGCTGGTATTGATGATGTTAGCTGGTATTGATGATGTTAGCTGGTATTGATGATGTTAGCTGGTGTTGATGATGTTAGCTGGTATTGATGATGTTAGCTGGTGTTGATGATGTTAGCTGGTATTGATGATGTTAGCTGGTATTGATAATGTTAGCTGGTATTGATGATGTTAGCTGGTATTGATGATGTTAGCTGGTATTAATGATGTTAGCTGGTATTGACGATGTTGCTACTCGAAACTGCTTGTCCAGGTTTGCTCCTAGATTTATTGAATTTCCAGTCCCGCCTGCGGTTGCCTTGGCAGGGCCAGACCAAATGATTTTGCGGGACTCATACGGCCCGCGGGCCGGACGTTCCCCACCCCTGGTTTAGACGCTTTGAGAATAGACCCCAACAGATGAAAGTCCAATATACTTTTTGTATTTTTTCCCCCTCACAATTATTCGTATTGTGCTCTCGGAGTCATGCTATGAGACGAGGTATCTATTCGGAACTGTGACATAGCTGTGCATCACCCGGTGTGTTTGAAGACGGCTTCCCTCAGAGGTCCCTTGGAGTATGTTTTCCCCTATGTGCCCTGTCACAGAGATTATTGTTTTCTAACAGTGAGGACAAAATGTTAATCCTCAAAGCTGTACATTTAAATTTAAGAAAGTAGTTTAATGTGTTAGCTCGTTTGCGCACTTATTCCTAGCTGTGCTGAGCCTATCAGCTCGCTACACTTGAAGACTTGTTTAAATGATGGGTGTCTGCCCAGATTTGAACCGGGACCTCTCCCCGAGTTGCTCCACCGGTTGACGTTGCAATAAGTGATTGCTTTTTCTTGTTGTTCAGTACTTGAACTCGGGGGCTGGAGGGTTGGCCGGAGCCTTCATTCATGAGAAGCACATGAATACGATCAATCCTGTGTAAGTGTTGCAGACACACACACACACACAGACAAATGTCCCCCAGATAGCCTTATAGAGACTGTTTGAGGCAAGTGATGTTCATGAGCAATTTTCAAAGCTGGCATGATGCACAAAGGGATGGTATGGCCAGCACCATGCCAGGCCACTTTTATGTCCCCGTTACTGATATTCGCATATGGCATGAGAAACTTTTTTCAGGCTGAGTCGACCTCAGGTATACCAAGGTCAGGTTCTAATACCACTTGCCATTGATGTTATCCGTGGCCGAGAATCAAACTCTCGGATATCTGGATTCATAAATCAGCATGTCAACCACTGCACCACCAGTCCCCATGAACTAATGACAACAATAATGCCGTGGTAAAGTATAAGGTTGAGTCAGTGGAGAATACAGAGCATAGTAATTGAAGTAATCATTGACCGCCCAACCCTGTGCTATGAAGAAGGGCCAATGCCTGAAACGTCAGCTATTATATATATTTTGTTCTTTTGAGGCCACACTGTTTTTAACAAACGTGTTCCTCTAATTGCAGGCTCATTGGCTGGTGGGGTCACAAGTATGAGACCCGGATGAAAATGGACAACAGTACATGGCTCAGCACACACGGCCACACGCACGCCAACATGATCACACTCGGCACGCACCTCCATGCCTATCTGTGTCGAAATGCCGGAACACCGTGCAGTTGACACCGAGTGCGGTTGTGCCTCAATATGTCCAACCTCTTTCTTATCTGTGTATCAAGAGTTGCAGCTGAGTGCTGGAGTAAGCGGTTTCCGCATCTCCAACCCACCCATCCTGCTCGTGTGTCCGCTAGAAGCCAGCTTAAAGGTATACATTTACTCTATACACTCAATGGCATCCTGTGTATATTCTAGAATGGGCCATGTGCTCCATAAGAGGTTTTTTTAGGTTAGATCGTGTAAAAATAAATGTCGTTAAACCCGCCACCACCCAAAACGGTTAATTAGTAAGGTTTGTCACGTAAACAAACCATGCCAATTCGTTACTAGTACAGAATACCAGTGTGTTAGAGAGTAAACCCACAACATCTATAATTCGAGTACGATGTTTCACCGGTAATTACAGCCAGCATCATCAGACGATGGCCAGAGTTATGGAGGAATTCTCCTGTTTCGGTCTTAAATTGAGGGGGGTAAATGTGATGTCGTCACTTGTGAGCCAATCTGGTGCGTAGACCAGAGGGGGTGGTGGTTAATGTATGCATATTAATTACAATGCATGTCCATATGCATCTCTATTCACCATGCAGCTTGCTCACGGTCTCAAGGTTATCACTCTGGAGACGGATAACAGCATGCTGTAGTGCTAGTGGCACCACCACTTTGTGCTACGTAGGGGTTTCAATATCCCCCCCCCCCCCCGCTTTGCCCACCACCCCTGCCTTAAATGTAGCCTTTAACAGTCGCAGGTATCAAGTGATGAATCCATTACATACAACATATACGAATTAAACAGCCTTGATTCTTACACAAGGACTGTGGCGCATAACGTGAGCTTAAGAGTCAACATGAATCCACGAATCAATGCATCCCCTGCACCCATAATCTTAAGTGTACATTCGTATTAAATGGAAAAAAATGTCAGACAACAAATGGCTGATCAGACTTATAAATGTGAGGACAGGACCTTCTATCAAGAAGGTCTGCTTCATTCCATCCCAAGTGCCAGCCAAACTTTTTTTTTATTGCGATAAAAACGCGAGCCCGGTACAATACGCCGATCAACATCTGCCAGCCTCGACTGTAATTGGTGCTCACTCGCCGCACGTTCTCTCACAGTCCGAAAGGTAAAACAGGGCCCCGGTTGCCCCCTTGCACTGATTTGTAACCACAGATCTTCGTGGAGGCTAGCATGCCTGCGCTGCGCGCCAAGTCGCGACTGCTCACCGGCTACCTGGAGCTGCTACTGCTCACGCTGTTCGCCGAGAGCCCCAAGGGAGGTGCGAGCGTGCGCCTTATCACGCCCAGCGATCCCGAGCAGCGCGGCTGTCAGCTGTCGCTCTCGTTCTCCATTCCCATCGGCGTCGTTTACCATGAGCTCAAGCGCAGGGGCGTCGTTGTGAGTGGCTCGCGTTCGCTTCGCACACGCGCACTCCGCATACAGCGGGAGCAGCAGCAACAACAACAACATCGACCGCCTTTCACCACCACATGGCTGTTATGTCACCATAGTGCTTGCGCCAGGCTGGGCACATAACTTGAGACCACATAAAGTGTCAAAGGTACACTTGGTAGACGTTTGCGGGACAGGCTCGGGGTGTTATGGGTTAGCGGACTTGAGATGATTGACTTTGTGTACATTCCTTCAAACAAAGACAAAAATATCCTGTATAGCCCGAGTGGCGATGTTTACACGCCACACCAGGTACTCATTTGAGACTTGGTCGACCTAGGGGAGGCCCAGGCCCAGTTCAGACACTCGTCACCAATGTTGGTGGTGAGCGGAAATCGAAGTCGGGTCACCAGTTTTGTGGCGCAGCATGCTAACCGCTGCATTAACGCTCCATTCCTCAAATAATGACAACAACCCCCCGTATAGCCTTTAACAGACTTTTGGGGCAAGTGCTATTAGCGAGCACCTATAAAGGCCGATACGGCATACGAGGGGGTGGGTGGCCAACACCACGCCCGGCCGCCTTTGTCTCCCCAGTGACGATGCTTACACACCACACCAGGCACTCATTTGAGGCTGAGTCGACCTAGGGGAGGCCCAGGACCAGTTCAAATATGTACAATGAAGAATAACTTTAAAAAAATAGCGCTGAGCCAGCAACCGACATTTGCAAGCGATGAGGAAATAATGGGCTTTATGAATGCTTACATTGCCTCGGATGCTTTAATGCTGTCATTGATAATGATGTTGCAATATTGGACATGGTTATATACGATTGAACATGTTAATTCTAGAAATTATAACAATTTTTTTATATATTAATGTTAATAATGTTGATATTGATCATTATAATGATAATAACTAATCTTTTCCCTCTATCCTCAAATCATTATCCTCTGCACCACCTCCCCCCTCCAACCTTTGTCCCCTCTATCCCTGTTGCCTCCGTCCCTCACCCTGATCCCTCACCCCGGTCCCTCCCCGTGTGTCCCTGTGGCCATCCTCCATGTCTACCGGCAGTGTGACATGCGGGAGCCGTTCGTGTTGCGGGTGGCCCCAACTCCGCTCTACAACTCATTTCAAGACGTCTGGCGTTTCGTGCACACCCTGGCAGAAGCACTGAATGCCGTCCAGTAGTCGCGGGTACAAATCTCGCATAGGACCGGGGATATGGGGTTCAAGATAAGTAGCATGCAGTAAATCATAACAAAGTTCACGATCTAGACGATTGCAACCTGTTCTGTAGGTCCAGGAGAAAATCTGGAACCTTGGCAAAATGTAGAACCCGAGTATTATGTAGAGGTAGCAGAAGATACAGTTTATGACTTGGGGCAGTCATTCAAAATGAAACCTTTTCATTGACACTACATGAGCCGTTGATCCAGATTCCAGATAGGAAACTTGCGTAACATTACACAGGGCTAATTTACAATGTTACCGAATTTATAGAGTATAGAAAATCCTGTACACAAGTTGTGGACTTAAGAGTAAGATACTGCCCAAAAAAAACAAATGTTTGATCTTGTTGGTAAGAACCACCACAAGCTGCATGGCCCAGGCTGCCCAATGCGCATTTGAAGATTAACTAATGAACAACATACTTTATAGAGTTGCAGTCAAGCGTGTAATTATAGTGCTCTCGTAATTTCTCCTTATGTATCTCCCATTATAATATGATTCCATCACAGGAGCACTATAATTACACGCTTGACTTGCAACTTTAAAGTCTTTTGTTCAGTAATGAAGCTTCAAACAAAGTTGCCGGGGAGCCCAGGATGTAAGCCTCGGGTTCATATTTTCAAGAAAAAAGCTGTTTCCCTTTTTTAGGGTTAGATGTTCCTTCGAATCAAAATTTCAATTGGAGGAATTTATACATTAATTATAGATAATTTTATATACATAATCAAGATCAAGATGTTGCTGAGGCCAATGCCAATGATGATCAGCTTCACCTCGCCAACGCTTTCCGCCCTCTGCCACGACTACTAAGGTCTGACCTGACAGTCTCCCACCGTCCGCTCTTAGGTATTCTCCTTGGTCACTGGATTCGTGCGAGAAAATAAGTTGCTAGGATATGCAAGTAAGTTAGTTTGATGTCAACAGTCTACCTCTCCCCGCTCCCTTCTGCCTGTTTATGTGAATAATAGCCAAATGTGATACAATGCAATACCGATGTATGAAGCACCTTCATACGATTACATCTCGAGACAAATGAAGGAAAAGTCAATATCTGAAAAGTTTTAAGAAGAGGGAACTTTGTACGTTTTTTTTTGTGCGCAGGAAATGAGGTGGAGAGTGCTGTAGACCCCAGAGAGCATTGAGAGTGCGCTGTAGCCATGTGACTAAAAACTTCGTACACATACAGTCAGGGTTTAGCATGGGGCTTAAACGGGTGTTTGCACATGCTTAATTAAATACGTATTATATTTCATTAAACGAAAACTAAGATAGGCTTAAATTTTGATTTAAAGCTTTCGTGACTGCAGTAATTCATATTCTTAGTTTTTTCGGTAAAGTCACTTTGAAGGGAAGCAACAAAATAATAAAATATTTATAAAACAATAAAAAAATTCTCACGACGTTTCGACCATAACTCAAACGGTCGTCTTCAGGTGTGTTGGTTTGGTCGAAAACGTCGTGAGAATTTTTTATTGTTTTATATATATTTTATTATTTTGTTGTTTCCCTTCAACGTAACTTTACCGAAAAAAACTAAGATTATAAGATAGGCTTTGCGAGACAAAATGAATACATGAAATAGACATGAAATATTGACAGACTGTGAGTTAGCAGAAGTTCCTGTGTGTCGGTGAACCGACTGTTAAAACATCCCGTTACCTCGCGGGAATTAGATGTTGACCGCAAGGGCATATTGTGCTCGGTTAAATAAAGTGGCAGTATTCGTGCAATATTTACCTGAAATCTGATATTCGTGTCATAGTTACAATCTGAGTGTTCGGTTTAAGCCGTGATTGTCACGTGTGAAGTTCAACCAACTGCACCTTTATGGTAACTGTAAATCTTCACTTGTTATATTCGTATTGGTGGTAACTCTAGGTGATGAGTGACCGGCAGCTGTATTGGTGTCAGCGTTAAAGCAGTGAACGGCAGTAGTTCGGTATTTTATCGCGTAATTATGCGTATAACAATTAATGAATTGTCAAGATTAAACGGCACGTTTTGATTCCTGAATCGATGTTGTGTTTTTGTTTGATATTTACCGTATTTGTTTGCATTATTTGGTATGTCCGTATCTCATGTACTCTCTTGTTTGATCAATTAGCCTAAAGGCAACATACAATTTCAATATATTGTAAAGAATCGATTATTACACGCATGATTATATGCACACATGAGCATAAGAATGAATGTAACCAACAGAGTTACGTGACCAACCAAGGCTTAATTTCAGAGCAGAGAGCTGTAGCCAGAGATCAGGCGACACGTGTTTTAAATCGCCTGGTTTGACATTGGAATCGTGTCCCAGATAACATGAGAATCATTGGTAAGATTTAATACCTACTATCATCACCCAGGAATGTCTGTCCTTAACGCTCGTGACGTCACTCCACATCGACCAGCCCCGCTCATTGATATTCATGAGCAGGTGATATCCTCCAAATGGACACCCCCTTCACCCAGCCTCAATAATCATGAACAGGTGACGTCACTCCACATGAAGCACCCTCCCCCCCTCAATAATAATCATGACTAGGTGACGTCACTCCACTTTGAACAGCCCCCCTCAATAATCATTATAAGGTGACGGCCTCTAAATGGACGTCCCTTCATAATAATTAGTGGCTGACGTCACTCCACATGGGGGGCCGAGGCGCCTCCTCCCCCCTCAGTTCATTTCAGTTTATTTATTTTGGTATAGCCCTGTGAGCCATTGGGATCTTGAATCGGGTGCAACCACAACAAACAAAAACACTAACAAGAAAACATCTTAAAGTGACTATGTGACTGTGCAAACAGAAAATCCATGAAAAAAAAAACAGCAAAATATTCCTGAAAAAAGCCCCGTGCACCAACGCTGTGTGCAAAAAATCCCAGTGGGATGCAAGTCAAACAACAACAACCACAAGAAAACTTAGATTAAGGCCATCAGTCTAACTCCGCACTACAACAAAACAAACATGTCCAAACCAAAAAACGTTTCGAAATTACCAAAAAATAAAGCCATAATTGCAACGTAACAGTGATCATAGGGACTGTGACCGAATTTTTACAATAAACTACGTAAATAACATGTAACACCAAATCCTAGAGCCATAGCTGGCTGCATGAGTTACTCCACAACAACAGAAGCATCAGTCGGAGTATCAAATTTTTCAATGCACCTTTAAGATCAGCACGCTAAATCAAAATACAGATAATATTTTGCAGCGTCATCCGGAGCCAAACATTTTATTTTACGCCAATGAATAGCAGTGGCAGCTAGGGGTGTACAACTCCTCTAGAGCAGTTTTGAGAGAAGATCTCATTGGTAGCGATTCAAGTTGCAGTTTATTGGCAACAGCATTCTAGACCTTGGGGGCATCAATAGCAAAAGCCCTTCCTCCAGTTTTTGTACGGCAATAGGGAATGTTAAGCTGGTAAATGAGCGAAGAGGTCAAATTTGTTATTTGAAACAGAGAGGAGATCCAGCAGGTAGTCTGCGGATTTTTTTGTAAGTACATCGTGAATAATTAAGATCTGGTGCACAAGCCGTCGAACATTAAGAGATGTTAAGTTTGACCCAATGTAGAGATCACAGTGGTCAGAATCAGAATCAGAAAGGGTTTTATTCGCCATGTAAGTTCACACCGATACGGAATTTACTTTGGCAGGATGGTGCATACATTCAACATATAGGAATCTAAAATCTTAAATAAGTTTTAAACAAGTCTTACTATAATAAGGGTTAAAAGTCTAACACCAAGGGGCTGAAGTATATAAAATTAAATAAATATCGAATATAAAATAGCTTTAAGATATAATTTAAAAATAAAAAATACAAATAGGGTAACATAGTTAATATCGGCAAGGTGTCGTTATGTAGATCAAATGTTAAAAACAGTGTTAGCCCTTGGCCTTGTTTAACAGGCCAGCAGCAGATGGGAAGAAACTGTTTTTATGGCGTGAGGTTTTGGTCCTGATGGACCGAAGCCTTCTGCCGGAGGGGAGTAGCTGAAACAGAGAGTGTTCAGGGTGGGAGAAATCGGCCATAATCTTCCTCGCTCGCCTCATGGACCTTGTCGTGTGCAGGTCCTCGAGGGTTGGTAGATTGCAGGCAATTACCTTCTCAGCAGAAGGTGAGACCTATATGGGCAGTTCAATGTAAATCTTAAGGCCGAGTGACAGATGGAATCAAGCTTCTTCAGTACAGTACTTGGGGCTGATTTATACACGATGTCACAGTAATCAAGTAGAGGGAGTATGGTAGCTTTCATCAATTCCAAACGGAACATTGGGGGGAAGCAGTGCTTGTGTCGATACAGAAAACCTATTTTTATTTTTGTCTTTTTACCAATATAATCAATGTGATCTTCAAAATTCAGTTTTGAATCCAGGATGACCCCAAGATACTTATAGATCTTGACTTGCTCTATTTGATAATTATTCAAGGAATGTAATTGGGGAAAAATAACTTCCTGCTTTAGTCCTGGTGAGAAGCATAGCACCTTGGTTTTGGAGGTATTCAGGACTAGTTTAAGAGCAACTGGCTGATGTAGTTTGTTGAAATCACCCTGTAGCTTCGTAATCACGTCATCCAGAGAGCGGCCAGCAGTAATCAGTATCGTGTCATCTGCAAAAAGATTTACCCTGGAATAATCCAGGTCAGTGCCCAAGTCATTGACATAAAGAGAGAACAAAAGGGGGCTGAAGATGGAACCCTGTGGAACCCCTTTCGTTATCTTAACACTGGTTCTCCAACCATCTGTGAATACAGCTTGGGTGAGAGAAAAGTGGTTATTTTGTAACAATTTTACTGCGTTTTCGGAAAAACCGAGGCAACTTAGTTTACTAAGCAGGGTGTTGTGGTCTACTGTATCAAAAGCTTTGGACAGGTCTAGAAAAAGACAGGCACAGTACTGCTTATTATCAAGGCTACTGTAAATGTGATTCAGAGAGTCGAATGCAGCAGATGTGGTGCTGTATTTTTTTCGGAACCCAGATTGTTTTAGATGTCGTAGATTGTTGGTGGACAGGAAACTGCTAATTTGGTTGTTCAATAATTTTTCAGAAATTTTCATCAACTGGGACAAAATTTAAATAGGTCGGTAGTTATTTGGATTATCTTTAGGGCCCCCTTTGTGAAGTGGACAGACATAGGAATGTTTCCATTCTAGAGGAACTGATGCTTCTTTGATGGATAGGTTGAAAATATGGGCTATAGGTTTGTATATTATGTGACCAACAGTTAGTAGAGCAAAGACGGGAATACTATCTGCTCCGGTAGAGGAGGACCCTTTGAGGTAGGACAGTTGTTTCAGAACATTACTTTCGTGGATTGGCTGGAAACTAAATTCGTTTAATGTTTGGACAGGGGTGTAGGAATTTGCATGAGCAAGTGTGACTCCCAATACATTATCAAAAAGATTACCAGCTTCAGAAAAATGAAGGTTAAAATTGTCAACTATTTTTTTGGGATCTGAAAAATATTCCCCATTTCGGTTAAGCTTAACGGGTAGATTGTCTGTCGGCGTCAACTCACAACCCTCACTACAAAGGCAGAACCCTCACGTCACGCGATCTCCGGAACGCTGTTGAGACATCAAAGGGGCCGTCCATAAATGACGTCACGCAATTTTGGACGTTTTTTGACCCCCCCTCGTCACACGGTGTCACAAAAAGTCAGCCCCCCCTCAAATATGACGTCACAAAGCTCTGCCCCCCCCCCCCCCAAAACACATAAAACATGCTCAAATCGCTTTAAACTATTGCCATTGTAGGGCGTATTTAATGTGGCGCTGCACTCTGATGTTGTAGGCGAAAACATTTATTAAAATGGAGGCGTTGGAAAGCTGAAATTTAGCATAAAATTAACTTGGAAATATTCAACGTCTAACTAAAACTGCAGATGTTCAGAATATTATATTGAAATTATCTTATTATTATCATATATTACAAGTAATTATAACTATAAAAAATACTTGAAACTTTGGAGTAGAATGAGGCAAAATGGAGAGTACAATTATAACGATCACATATTCATTCCACAGAATGAAAAGCCCTGGTAGAATGATTAAAATAAAAATGTTGAATAACTAAATTTATGCTTTTGCATTCTCCGATGGAGAAGCAAAATTATCCTTCATGGAATAAATTAAAGGTGACCTTAGTAAATTTAAATAATCAAATAGTTAATAATGAAAATTAATACAAATTAGTGTTGTTTATATTAAAAGTTGCGCATTTTGATGTGACGTCAGATTTCTCCCCCCACCCCCCTCGTCACACATCGTCACAAATGTCTGACCGCCCCCCGCTCCCCTAGGTGCGTGACGTCATTTATGGACGACCTCTAAGTGTATGTAATTTATGTTAGCGTAATAAGTCAAGAAACATGTAAATATGATCATTGGTCAGTTCATCAAGGAAAGCCACATTAAGTCATCGGTGACTTATTCAGGAGGATCCTGCATTTGGGTTTTTATTATAAGATGTTTTCAGACAATTCTTGATGGGCGTTTATACAACATTCAATTACTGATGATCCTGTTTTATGCAAATGGGAAGAAACCGGAGCAAACCTACGCACCGGTACAGATATAAATATGGCAATTAGCCCACTTGCTGTACTGGTGGCTCACACATTGGTTTCCTTGGTTAACCCATCATTGGTGTGAGCCACCAGCTCTCGGCTCCACTGCTAGATTCTAGGCTTGCGGTGTGCACCACCGCCGCACGGCTCAGTCTGTTGTTCTCGCTTGCACAATCCCGGCTAGCTGACTCAAAAACGCAACATGTGCTTGTTTTAAAATAAATAATGTTATTGTACTCCCACACGAGCTTATTGATAAGGACACAATTTTAGCGTATGTAATACAGCACTTTTTTTTATATAATTTCAAATTCATAAGCTGTTGGAAGAAAAGGAGTGCACAAACGTGTAAATAACAGCTTCCTGGAGGGAGCATATCTTAAAATCCCACAGCAAAATTACTACCAACTTCCTTGCTGCAATTGGAAACACAAAGGCACACCACCACTCTTTGCCCTTACACTGAATTTAGCAGTTGAGAGAGTTCCTCAGGAATCCAAGTCAAGCAAGTGTGTCCGCACACCACGTCTTTCTAATACTTATCCACGTGAATTCTATGCAAATTATGCTATTGATTATTATACGGTATTTGAACGCACAAAAAGGCCTTGATGTGCGTGTTTTCTTTGCGTGTGCTGAGTAAATGTGTGCTCTTCGTATCGGATTGTAGCAACAAAGGCTTTTCGTTTCCATTGTTGACCGTGAAAAGAGGTTATTGCACTCTTTACAGAGATGCGACGCTGCGTTTGAGCAAAGGGCCCGAAAAGTTTGAAACGTGTTTCTGAAGTCTGTGGTTTCCTTGGTTAACCCATCAAATTTTAAGTGGCCGATGTGTCCTTCCACTATGCCCGTCTAGACATTTCCAACTTTCCCTAGAGATTTCCTAACTTAGGTTCAACCGAGATTCGAGCACCAACTAATGCCCCACGAACTTTCCCCCCTCCTGGACCCCACTTGCTGGACGCTTCTGGAACACCGTAATACCCGTCCATGCACCCACCCTATCGAGGCCATATAAGACGTTAGCCACTAACCACTGGTGCCACCCCCATTCACATTCACATCTACTTTTAGCAAACGGCGGAGTGAGCGAAGCTCACAAGAGCCAAGGACAACGTCGGTCATGTCGAACCCGGAGGGCAGCAGGTAACAAAACGCGCTTTGTACTAGTTAAATACTATACACACACACCCACAGCCCTGTTGGTGAGTCCACTGCTGAATGATGCTATCCTCACGTCGCGCGGTTCGTGGGTTGTTGTGAACAATACTGCTCGGGTTTGGGGAAGGCAGGGGAGGCATAGCGAGAATATGACACTACAACACCATGGGTTTTACTGTGTCGCCCTCTCCTAACAAGATACAGTATCCAACACGTGTTGTTTACGTGCTGGTAACAACCGAACCCTCTCCAGACCCAAACCGGATTGATCAAACGTGCCCCATTTGAGCGATTCAAGAGGTTGCTGGGTGGACCTGTGGGCAGGACTGAGTGCATCTGCACAAGATACATTTTTGTGAGGTTGCTTAATCTTGTAATCTTGTGTTTCTGAAATTCATACACGGTCTATACTGGGAAGTCCCGCTCCAGTGGGAAAATACAATTTGCAGATAGAAATACGACGTCATAACAACGCTTGAATAGAGCACGTGGAATGCGCCCGATCTCGTCAAATCTTGGAACCCAAGCAGGCATTTGTGCCTGGATAATGTTTGTTTTCATGCGTGACCACCATGGATATACGTTGGTATATTTTTTTACTCAGTGGTGGGCAGCATCATCCATTGTTGTACCGTACTTCTATGTACCCACGTCTATGTTCCCCGCCGTTGCTAACTTCCACATCCAGCAATGGATTGAGAAATGACATTCCACGAACATTACTCGTTCAACAGCAGATTATACGAAGAGACATCTACAATATTAAGAATGACATTTTAAACATTCTTGTTTATTGACTAATCCATGATTTAACTAGTTATCAGATTTAAATTGTTTCTGGTTCATCTTCTTTGGTTCGTTCGGTAAAGTCACGTAGAATAAGAATAAAATAATAAATTGATAAAATAAAATAACACAATAATATTCTCACGACGTTTCGGCCAGAGACTGTCTGGTAGGACAGCGCTGTCCTACCAGACAGTCTCGTCCCTTCACCTGATGAAGGCCGCTTGTGTTGTGGCCGAAACGTCGTGAGAATATTATTGTGTTATTTTATTTTATCAATTTATTTTTTTATTCTCATTCTACGTGACTTTACCGAAAGAACCAAAGAAGATGAATCATTGCAGTCACGAAAGCTTTAAATCGAAATTTGTTTCTGGTTATTTGTTAGGCTTTTCATCATTTCATCATGATTTCTAATTTCGGACTGATATTTAAGAGTGTACTTAACCAGCCTCAGACTTTGCAAATTCCCTTGTACCAACCATGTGCTCCGATGCTAAATTTAGATGGTGGTGGTGATGGTATGCACCATCTGTGACTTGCAAGCTGTTCATGGTGGGTGGGTGTCGGGGTGTGATAAACACGTGGGGAGTTGCAGCCAGTGTCGAGGCAAGTGGGTCATGCAGAGAGAAATTATAGTCCCTATGGAAATCATTTTATTGCAGCTGCTGTTCAACTATGGTTGAATCCTCTATTTACAGCCCTTTGTCAATCTACTGCTGGCTGGGGGACTACCCACCCCCGTGTGGCTCATTCGTGGGGGCGATTTGACCATACTTCACCACCTGGGCCAGTGTGGTTTGATAAAAGCAGGCAGTATTGACGTGAAAGTGTATAAATACAGAATAACTATTTAATTGCTGCGCTGCCCTTTAAAGGACACAACTATTTTATTTTATTTTGCCAGGTAAGGCTCACTGAGCTATATCGGTATTTTTGCTGCCCATCACATAGCCTGGCAAGCCCCATGACAACATCCAAACACTATCCAGGTTCAACCCTGTGTAGCTTCTGAAATTTGACTAGATCAGGCACGGATCATTTTAGTAGTAATTCAATTACCGTATTTTTAGTTGATGTATCCAATGTCAATGAACAGTGCCCCATTTAGAAGGGGTTGAATTGCAGTATTTTGTGGTCTATGTTTTTTTACTTGTGAATGAGAGGGTGCAATGTTGTGCACTGCTTGCGGGCAACTCCCCACTGTGTTGCTCCTGCATGCTTACGGGAAATGTTATAAGCATTTTCCCCCTAAATGTAAGCATGTACTATGGTGAGTGAGCGCACGGTGCTGTCAACTTGGCAAGCTGTCAGGAAGTACACTAAACATTTTGAACAGACACATATATTCATCAGTGGCGAGTGATATCTGAACTGGTTCCTGCAACCCACCACCAACCCCCATTGATCAGCGTGGTGAAGGTAGGGTCAAACAGCCCCCATGATTTACAGAGCTTGGGGAGGCCTTCATCCAGTATTGTACTGACAAAGGACTGTGCATTATTACGAATTTTCTTCATATACTGTACTAGCTTTCCGACTTGGATTCACCACGCCCGGCCGCCTTTGTCTCCCTAGTGGCGATGCTTACACACCGCACCAGGTAATCATTTGAGGCTGAGTCGACCTAGGGGAGGCCCGGGACCGGTTCAGATAATCGTCACTGGTGTTGGCGGTGAGCGGGAATCGAACCCGGGTCGGCGGGGTCGTAGCGCAGCGTAGCGCTAACCGCTACACTACAATGCGTTACGCTTCCACACACAGACACACACACAGACAGACAGACACACAGACAGACACACACACAGACACACAGACACAGACAGACACACACACAGACAGACACACACACACAGACAGCACGCTAACCGCTACACTACAATGCGTTACGCTTCCACACACACAGACACACAGACAGACAGACACACAGACAGACACACACACAGACACACAGACAGATACACACACAGACACACAGACAGCGCGCTAACCGCTACACTACAATGCGTTACGCTTCCACACACACAGACACACACACACAGACAGACACACACAGACACACACACAGACACACACACACAGACACACACAGACACACAGACAGATACACACACAGACAGCGCGCTAACCGCTACACTACAATGCATTACGCTTCCACATGCGAGGGTCACGTGACAGATATGACGTCACAGCTCACTTGCCGTCCAAAAAAAAATCATTATTGAGCTCCCCCCCAAAAAGTCTATCTTTATAATTTGTGCATGGTGTACAGTCTAGAAAGTACCCACATGGCAAATTTCAAGTTTGTTACATGTCGGGAAGTACACTAAACATTTTGAACAGACACACATTCACAACTTTGCCTTTTATATATATACACGTGGAGATATGCAGACGTGTGTTTGCTTGGTTAAATGAACCATGATTTCAACAGTTTGCATACATATTGTATTTCACCTTTGTATTTACCTCGACTCTTGTCTGTTCATCTGTGAGTAAAATATTATCTGGATACCAAACTTGTGTGTTTGCCGGTTCACCTGCCATATTTGGTTCACATATGGGCTTACCTGTGCACTCCCTGGCACGGCTACCTGCTGATTATATGTACACCTGCATATGAATATGGCATTCAGTGAAGACTTTCAGATGATACTTGGGCTTGTGCGTAAAACAAATGGAGGTGGTGATGGCTTAATAAGTATGGATGAAGATGATGATGGCTCTGTGAGAATGGATAATGATGATAATGGTTGATAATGACCTAGTGTAAGTATGGATAATGATGTTAATGATGGAATGGTGAGTGTGGATGTTGATGGCTCTTGAAGATAATTATTACGTTCATTTAAGTGTGAATGATGATGTTCTTGATAGCGCTCTACATGTACATGATTATTATGAAAATGATCCACGTGATTATCCGAACCTCCAATTAGCACGGCTGGCTATGTACGGTGCGAAATAAGTTCCAAATAGTACATGCAATATACGATAATGGCTTTTTTTATTATCAGACCGGCACTGACAACGTGGTATGACCGTAAAGAGTTTGTTATGGTCGACTTCAACGTGGGAGAGAGTCGCGATGTGAACGTGGAGTTCCAGGATTACAAGATCATATTCAGGTACGAGCCACCACACAGAACCGACTCTGGCAGCAACGTTATCACCACCATGACCATCAGAAGCCATTTTCATAGTCCACTGAAGGATGGACGCTAACAAGTGTTTGCCCTTTGCCAGTTTCAGAGTTTGCAGTTTACCATGTATTTTTTCACAATGAGTTCTAATTATGTAACTAGGCCCCATCAGGTATTATTACATTTTGCCTTTGGCTGTTCACGCGTCACCTTAACGGTTAACACGAAGGCATATTAACATTTTATATATCATTCTAGATTTAGTTGAATCGTATCACCAACTACAGTTGCATTTGCAAATGTGCTTCGCGAACGCTAATTATGAATGCTTTATAAAAATGAAATTGAGGATGATGATAAGGGGGGTAGTGTTATTTTAATTAAATTTCCACTTGAATGAGTGTATTATGAATTCATTAAATAACTTCACTGCTATCATTTTTTTATCAGCTGCGTGGCTGGTGATGACAACATACGCTACTACAATGAGATCGACCTTTATGAGAAGCTCATACACTTGGTGAGACACGCATGTGCTCACGAATACGGTAACAAATGCATGTGTGCACACGTGCACACATTAATAGCTCTTGTGCAAATGCACATGCGCGTGAATACTCATGCATGTCCGAGTATATTTTTTTGACGAACAGAAAATATTTTCGATCCTCTATCACCACCCCCTCTTTTCCACGCAGGACTGTCGTTTCAAGGTCTTTGATCGCCACATTCACTGCACGCTGAGGAAGGCCAAAGGGGCGATTGATTGGATACGTCTCACCAAAGACAAAGAAAAGGTACATTTCAATACAAAACCGACATATTGGCCCTTTGAAATGACATATATAGTCGCGTTCGAGACGTCATTTTGATAAGTTATTCTTCTTTGACAAGAGCCCGGTAAAAGGCACGAACCGTAATAATGGAGCGGAGGGGGGGGTACAGAAATTCTGCAGACCGAAGTCTGAACTCGATGCTCCTGGGTTCTTCGAAGGGGGAAGGTTTCGCTCAATGTTGACTGTTAAGAAAATTAAATTGTGCTTGGGCAGCACGCATCGCTGGAGGCGACGGTGGTAGGGAGGGTGAGATCATCAACTACGTGGCAGCCGAAGGAGGCAGTGTGCCCGAGAGGACCTCCACCTTGGAGATGCGAATGGTGAAATGGACTCGTGCACAGATGCTGAGTGGATTGTAGTATAGCAGGCCTGTGAAGGATGTTAGCGATTTTTGTGGAGGCCTCCATCCAGCAGTGGATTGATCAAGGCTGCTGCTGATGATGATTATGGTGGCGTGCTGTCTCGGTGATTACCGACTCATCGTAGAGAAGCATTGATCTAGGGGTGGAATTCATTTGGATGAATCGCTGGTGTCCGGGAGGCTCAGAAGTCAGGCAGCTCAGCTGGAAGCTCTGAGAACCTTAAGATTTAACTCGTGTGATGATGAACATGAGTTATCGGGTGTGGTGAACAGATGGTGTAAGCATGTTCACAAATGACCACACAGAAAGAAAAAAAATTCCAATCTAAAATGCAGTCATTCTAGATTTGAAGTTTTCGTGACTGCAAGGATCCATACTCTTTGGTTCTTTCGGTAAAGTCACGTAGGTGAAAAAATGAAGATTAAAAAATCAAAATAAATCACGACGTTTCAGAAGCAACACAAGCTTCCGTCATCAGGTGGGACAACCACAGCAAAATTACTACAGTAAAAATTACTACAGTCATTTTTGTTCTTGCTGTGAATGTCCCACCTGATGACGGAAGCTTGTGTTGCTTCCGAAACGTCGTGAATTATTTTTTATCTTTTCACCAACGTGACTTTACCGAAAGAACCAAAGACTAAAATTCAGTGTTTTTACTTCATTGGCAACATTTCAGCTTTCTGAACTACAAATAAAATATTGGTTTGACCATCATAAAACGAACATTTATGTGATGAAGACACGTGGAAAAGTGAGCACCTCGTGTGTGGATGAAAACGTTCATGGAAAGAGATCTCAGAAGTAGTGTGATAATTCCTTTTACGGGCCATTCTTTTACACACGAGCCGATGTACGACTTCAGTGTGAGTTCTTAATGGTTACGTAGTCTCGTGGCATGATGACAGTCGCATACTTTGAATACACTTGGGAGAAAGACAAAAGTAATGGAAACACCTTTCGATTATAATGATGACGATTAGGGCTCAATTACAGTTGGAGCTGTCTGGAGCTGAACTCCAGAAAATTTCCATCCCCCGGATCCCAGGGGGATGGTTGGCTTAAAACAATATTCCTTTATAATTTGTATCCTGATTTTGATGATAATTAAGTATTTTAGCCACTTAGCATTATACCACTCACTATAACCACTTGCCACAACCCAATCACCATTTCTAACACAGGGGGGGGGGGGTTGGGTAAGATCGGGGAAATATAAATGCGGAGTCAAACCCGCCACCACCCAACACAGCCAACTTGTACGGTTTGTCACGTAAACAAAACATGCCAATTAGTTATTAGTTCAACACATCGGTGTGTTGGAGAGCAAATCCACAGCATTTACAATTCAAGTACGACGTTTCGCCGGTAATTACAACTTGCAACCAGCCACACCAGGCGACAGCCAGAATTGTGGATAAATCCTCCTGTTTCGGTTTAAATTAGAGACCCGATTAACCCCGATCGCCATATATTCTATCTCGAGTCTGCTTCGACATCATTTGCTTGCATCTTTGAATTTAGCCCCCCTGGCTGAGCACCGACTTCGACAACTGGCGGGACTGGCGGGAAGAGAATGACGAGGGGATGGCGCGCTACGTCGACTTCCAGAAGGTGAACGAGCAGGCCGGGGAGCGTGGAGATCAGAATCAGAATCTTTACTTATCCTGGAGGGAAACCGATGTCCAGTAAAGATAAGCCAGGGCTCACTGGGGACCATAGGGGAACACAGAGGTTTCGTCTCTACATAAAGGAGACCATCTAAAAATATATTATTGACTCTAGATTATCTGTGGGGGGATTATCCAGCTTGCAGCTTGCTGGATAACCGTCTTTGTGATTTGTACATATACGTTTTACGTGCACTCTGGTTTCATTGTTAGCTGCTTCTCACTCTACTCAGATGAGTGCCCTTGTGTCGATTGCTTTAAGAAACAAATAAAACAGGTGACGCGTGATATATTTTCACCCCCATTCTATGTTGGTATGCAACGAATATGTCTTTGTAACCCTAATTTGCATTTTTGTTGTCGCACTATTTCTGTTTTTGCTTTATTCGGGCCGCCCCTCCCCAATCCAATTACTGTGGATAATGAAGAGTTAACTGTAGAATTATATAATCTTCATTACGGTGGGGCACACTATTAACCATCTTTAGTAAAGTGTCAGCTATGTTTGTAAGTTATTTTGACTTAGCCACGATGAATGCACAAGTCACTAATTGCTTTTTCAACATCACAATGGAGGAAATGGAGCATCGTTCTCTGTATCTGCTATGACAACTCATGAAATAGATTTTCAGTTCATATTAAATCTACCAACGTTTTCTGAGAGGCTCAACCAGGACACATGGTGGCTTGGCAGCCCCTCCCACCATCAGCCCTGCCCACTCTTAAATAGCCACCCCCACTGAACCACTAGCTCTGCCCAGAGAGAGTGTCCTCACTCTCTGATGTCAGCCCAGCCTACTGGTCATAGGCACCACCTCTGAAATCTCACCTACTGCTCAGGTAGCTCCACCCTTTCGTGGGTTGAGTGCAAGGCTCAAACATTGAAACTCGGACCATTTCACACATCTTTCAAATACTTTGGAAAAACGGGACAACCTTTCTGAAAACAGAGGGACTGTCCAGGCCAAACCAGCACATGTAGTAAGTAGCTTTAGTTTCCGTGGCCTCTCAAAGCGCACACACGACAGCTGATCATTGCATGCTAGTCCCAGCTAGAATTATTTTCCCGATTGTCTTTAATGTTGCTTGGCATAAGATACTCTTGGAAAAATGTTTCCAGCAGCATTTGTTTAAGGAGGTGCATTCTGGACCAGTTTTGACATTCCGTTTCATTAGCGGTCTTTAAATAAAGCCTTCTGAGTTGCCTATAGAGCAGTCACGTATTGGCGATGATGATTCACGCTACTCTGTACAATTAGTTTGTGATGTTATTTGTGACTCTTCTCTGATTGTTTTTTGTACTGACAGACGCTCAAAGAGATAACAAACAAAAACAGGGTAGTTCCGACAATGGATGATTTGGACGTGAGTACCGTATTTTATTGTGAAATTTGTGAAGTGCCATCATTCTGTCATCCAGCCAGGCCAACCTGCAACTCAGCACAAATTCCAGTTTGACTCATTTTACTTCCTCTGACGTACCATGTAACCTTTGATTGGACAACTGTTAACACTCATCAGTTTGTATTGAGGCTGAACTGCATTCTAGCAACCTGAATGATAATGTTTCTGATTTAATTTGCATCTGTGATTTTATAAATCCTGTTGTATAATGTATTATTTCAATTTCAGGATACTGTGCATAGAATAATGAAGTTTAATACAATTATTAATATTTTTCAGGATGATGATGAAGATGTATTATCGACACAGGCTTCAGATGAGTTCCCTGGTATGTATATAATGCATGGTGTGAATTACTTTTCACGAATTACTCAGAATATGCCTGGTCTTGTCAGATCTCAGAAGATAACAGACCTGGGCCTGGGCAGTGCTTTGGTCAGTGAGAACCATAAATAAACATCGTATCATGTGGGGCAGCAGGGCTACATGGTGGGTAGCAGAGGGAAGTGCAGCACAATCCACTGTTGTACCATATTTTCTATGTTCCAGCGTCTGTGCTACCTGCCATCACCAATCCGCACTAATCAGCATGGTGGGGTATGGTCAAATAAGCCCCCATGGACCTGCTGCGCACTGTGAGGTTGTCATCCTCATCAGCAGTGGCTTGACAAAAATAACTGCATGTGAAACCATTTCTAACCACTGCACCATTGATCTCCGCCCAGGAAATTGACAGCTATCTAAAAATGTAAGCTTCACAATGGATGTGTACCCCACTTAAGAGCAAAGTTTAGTGTCCATCACACCCTTGAAAATTCTGTGTAAACACAGATTCAAAGCTTAGATTATGTAACAACATAGTATCATATACTGTCGTGTACGAGTGCTGTACATTATATGTAGTCATCTCTCCAGTCAGCAGCAGGGGTGCTGCCGTGTTTGTTTGTGGAGAGCGATCTGGACTTGCAATTCAAATGTCACCGGCTCTCGTTCTGCTGACGCAGCAGTTGAAACAATGGTGCAAGTTTATTCATTCCTTTTGTCCCTGTTCACCTAGCAGTGTAAATGGGGACACCACAATTAGTTGATCGGCAGCATGCGGTGGGGTAATAAAGTATGCATGCCCCTACCACTTCCAATGTGTCTGGCCAGTGTGGAAGAGCAGACCAATCACCCACTGGAGGAGCTCCCTGGAGTTCCCTTCTACCAGGCGTGGTGTAAGCAAGCAATTGCAGGGCTGCACCTTTGGCTTTTTTTTTTACAAACCCGCAGTATAACCCAGGGCACATTCCTGTAATTTTATTGGCAGATTTCCTCTGGTGGTGTAAGATGTGGGCACGCCTGTCTCTTAACACCAACTCCGTGTCGGGGTGTAAGAACTGGTCAGACTCCCCTGGAAAACAGGTGGTAGAGTCGTGCTTCATCTTCAGTGGCAAAATGCATTAGAGTTTGTGCTAACATTAATTCGATGTCACAGAGTGTTCATTGGCGAGAGATGGCAATTACCTCCTGGTAACAGGGCCCATATTGAGAGCATTTAAATTGCCTGGCTGCTGTGATATTGCACCCTACTCCGCATAGCTCTGTGACCAGCCCGTTTAAAGAATGTGTGGTTCATACTGTTGTGTATTATTACACTTCAAAGCTATCGCCAAAGCTATCACCTGATCACATCAGACCTCGGAAGCTAGGCAGGGTTGAGCCTGTATGGTGCTTGGATGGGTGATGGCCATGCACAGTCAGGTTTCTCATAGGGCTGTGGGGGCTATGTTGTCGACTGTTCAGGAACATACATTGTTGTACCGTCCTTCTATGCGTCCACGTTTATACTCCCCACATTAATCAACCCGCATCAACCTGCACTGACTATCATGGTGAAGTATGGCCAAATAATCCCCACGATCTGCACGGCGCGGGGATACTTTAATCCAGCAGTCAAACGGCAATATACTGCAAATTGCACATACAAATGCAAAGCATCCCATGTCATGCCGGAACTATGAAGGTATGAAAAACTGATATTTCTCGAATAAATCCACATGACCTCATTAACCACACCCTTTCCTGGCCTTAGCCAAAAGGCTGGCTACTACTTTGGCTAATTCATATTCCATTGTGTTGACACAGACGATTGTGATCTCACCCTTCACGTGTAGACCCACCTCGTGACTCCCTCCCCCTTCCCTTGCCTGCTGTGTGCGGGGCCCCTCTGACACGAGCTTGTCGGATTGAGCAATAATGTGCGTCAGTGAGTTGTTAAGTGTAACTCCTTAGGCTCTGGTGCGCCATTTCGACAAAAATACAGTGCAGGACAAACGCATTCCGGTAAAAATAGGCTCGCGGCCGACCTGGGGTCTTGTCTACGCACGTCTTTCAAAGAGTTGCTGGTTCAGTTGCGTTTATAACGGTTGGGTCCACGCCCTGAAATATTTGGCAGCTTACTCGCATTGCAATTTGAGCCGAAGGGCAATGGAACTTGAAAGTGATTTTATCATGGGTGGCCTGTATGGGCCGAGAGGGCTAAGACCACGTGGCTCAACTGCTACCGTGAAGATCCTGGGTTTCAGTCCAGTGTTTAGCCACCCGTTATTAAAACGGGTTCTCAAGCGTAGCGAGATGCACACATTGTTTTCTTCATATAAAATGTTGGTGGTTTCTCACATCAATATGTCATTTATCAGCTGACGAAAATATGTTGAGCTTGATTCCTATGTGGTGGACATGCGAGTAAGCGTTGATAAGAGGCAATTTAAGAGATCTTGGAAGTATTTCTGTGAAGACATTTTCCAGAGACCATGCCCGAACATGTGATTGTCCACTCTCTGCTTTCTGTGAGAGCTCCAAATGGAAATATGTAATTGTTTCATGACGTGACGCCGCTAGCACCATTCGAAAGTAATTCAGAGCAAAAAAATGGTTATATCAGTGTTAAAATTTCTAGCTTTGGATGCAAATGTGATCTTTTAGGTGGGTAGTGGCAGCGGCACGTGGCCTATAATCCAGCACTATGGAGGTGATGGTTGATAGATCACACAAATGTGAAACTCCCTTGATGTGGGTGTCAAGGAGCCTTACCCTGGCTTGCCAAGAGAAGCTGGAACAGCAAATGGACTAGTCTACATGTGTATCCATCTGTTTCGGGATAGAATGTTGCCCCCTCGCTTGCATGGATTTCCTTCGGGTGCTCCAGTTTCCTCCCACTTGTAGGAACACTCGATAGGTGTTCGTTGAAAAAATTAATAACAACAAAAACAAACCCCTTTTTAGGATCCTCATGAAAAAGAGTCCTTTGACTCGGTGTGACTTTCCTTGGATAAATAAGTAATTATAATATTTTGTATCAACATCTGTAACTCGATCAATGCAATGTACAACTATCAAAATGCCTTAACAATTCATAAAATTCAAAGTAACTTTTGTATATAGAGCAGGACATATTAATTCACGTTCATTTGAGGGGGGACAAAGTAAATTCGGTTTGGTATTCATGGTGGTGCTTGGATGATACAATAACAAACTGTCACCTGAATATTTGTTTCCAAGAATCTCCGTTATACTCGTATTAAAAATAATCTATGCCTCGAGTTTCCTGTTGTGCGTGGCTGCGGGCCGTTGCCGAAGCTAGCTGGGTTACTGGCCAAATGTGATTTTTTTTTGAGTAACTAATAATCATTTAATTGAAGATCAAAAGACAGATAATGGAGACCCCCCCATAAAGATTGTAGTAACATACAGTAGATTAACACGGTTCATCTATAATTGCTCTAATTTTGCAACTGTCTTCCTATTAATGTAATTCTTGGACCAGAATATTTTATATCATAGACAATAGAAACATTCTCACAGTTCATTAAATTTCCATTTTATTATTTAAAGAAGCAGATTACCTTTAGTGCTCCGAGTATACAATTGTGAGAAGAATATGAAAATTACAGTTCTTTTATTTTTCTATTCACATTTAAATATTAAAAAATGCCCTAATGTGAACACAGATGAAGTACACATTAACTATCACGTAATTTCCCCAGCTCCTTTAGGCCGCATTTTCATGTTTATAAAAAAATATTTTTCAAATACAGACGAAGTGTTTGTACAATGCACATATCTGATAATTGGTAAAACTGGAAAATCTGGACCTCTGGTGACGCCGTGAGGACTGCCCGAACGTGACCACATTTTCCCTGTAACCACAACACAGTGTTTAATGGTGTGTCGTTTAAGTGTGTCGTTTAATAGTGTGTCGTATGTTCTCAGTAACAATTACATTGCTTTTTTTCCAAATGAGCAAATGGCCAGTACGGTAGAGCGACAAGGTGTCTCAATAGCATTACAAGCATGGACATAATTATGACCCTTTCAAGGTGAAAACAAAGCGCACAATATTGAGGTATTTTGTTATTTTGACTGGGTTTTAAAGTTGTCTGTATTCTGCTCTGTTCATTACAGATCTTCCAAAGTTGGAGTGAGACTGGGATGAAAAGAAATCTGAAATCGAGGACTTGAGGTGTTTGGGGGAGTCAGAAGTTGGTTGTGGGGATTAGGCTAGAGGAAGTGGAATGAGAACAATGAATTTTGTCCACGATTCTACCTGTGTGCTCAACGCTGAACAGCTTTGTGTGAAGTCAAAATGTCTCTCAGTGACAACTGGAAAGTATATATCTCTGTGTTTTAGGTCCTGCTACAAATAACGGTTGAATATGTTAACATCTGATATGTAAATAGAGTACGTTAATAAATTTATACGTAAAAATGCATACCAGAAGTGTTTTTTTTTATGTACTACAATAAGTGTTGTGGTATGAATACGTGTTTTTAAATACTATTAGATATGTGTACACCACATATGCAAACGTGAAGGGAGTACTTGCCTTCTGTTGTGTGGAGCAATATTTTTCTTACTGTGATTAATTTAAAGTCCCGCTGTAATTAAATACACCTTCGGTTTACATGAATCGTCATATACATTCTTCAGTCCTTCTCAGTGCCCATTTTATTTGCATGTCTGCTTGCGGGAATACCATCTATTATACACGTCATATGAGCATACCTGTACAGAATAACCCTGTAGCAGTGACGTGCGGTGAGATCAATGGCTGGGGAGTCACTGGCTAGTGTCAGAGCCAGATTCACACACTGAGGGGGGCGTGTCCTCACTGAGGGGGGCGTGTTAGACACGTCCTCCTTAGTAAGACAGATGTGATAGCTGCCTCCCCTGGTTCTTTTTCATTGCAGTTTCATGACGAGACCAGCGAGCCTAAATGTCTTTATACACATACGTGAAATAAGTTACCTGGAGTATGGAAGGTGAGGGCATGAAATGAAGGGGTCTACAAACATTACATTGGTGACATACTGAGATAGTAACAGGCACGCGCGTATTGCCCGCGTTCCATCCAGTTACTGAGGGGTTGCTCAATCAGAGGGGAGGCTGAGCTCATCGCTGCCTCACCTCTCGTCTTTTCCTGTATTTGCAGCGGAGCTCCGTAAATTTGGCGATTTTGACTATAAAAATGATTGGAATCGTACAGAAATTACATTTATAACAGATCAGTGGAAAAATCTTAATATTTATTTTATTCGATATATTTTTTTACTTTTTGTAACAGCTATTTTCATTGGAGTATGACAGGTGAGGCTCTGCCTCCCCTGCCTCCCCTGACCGCATGTCCCTGCCCTGTAGTAACTGTACCGCATATGGTGATATCCTTATGTATGTATTTATATATGGAGAACTTATTTCGCACTGTAATGATAATTGAGTACATTTGGTATTTGTGCTATTCTAATTGGGCAGGGCTATCACAAATGAGCTGTGTTTCAAAGACACATAATCTCCATGTAGAGAGCGATGTTGCTATGTGCAATTCAAATTGAGTAATTTTCAGGTATAACCAGGGCAGCCTGATGGATTCGAAATGAGAACCTCTGCAACAAGTGCCACAACTCGGCCATGTCACCGTTTTCATATACCAATGCATTTCTATATCCGTTCATTTCCTTTATCTATACTGTATAGCCATGCAGCCACACGGTGCAATCAAATATTGTGTATAGCACTGTTTAAATATATCGTATTATATACACACAAACATGTACATATGCAATTGTAGTGTCGTAGGTCCATACTCTTTGGTTCTTTCGGTAAAGTCACGTAGGTGTAAAATAAATTAAGTCACGACGTTTCGGGCGCAAACACAAGCGTCCATCATCAGGTGGGAAAACCACAGCAAGAAACAACTGCTGCTGTGGTTTTCCCACCTGATGATGGACGCTTGTGTTGCGCCAAAAACGTCGTGATTTAATTTATTTTATACCTACGTGACTTTACCGAAAGAACCAAATAGTATGGATCCCTGCGGTCACGAAAACTTCAAATCAAGATTGTCGTAGGTCTCTTCTTCCTTCTGCTCGAGGCTTGTGCGGGGGTGGCGTGCGTCGCACACACACTCAGTCGGAGACGAGGTGGTCGCAGGAGGCACCATCCTCTACTTTTATTGTTGTTGTTCACGCCACCAACTCCGGCCCCCTCTCTCTCTCATGACCACGCTGCCGCACGAACCGGCCCAGACACGACCCTGCCCATGTTGCACCGACGGCGTCGACCGGGACAGCCAACCACTGTCCGGCCGCGCAATGCCCGGGTGAAGGCGGTAAGCAACAAAGGCGGTTGAAGACAACAGCGACGACGAGACGAGTCCACTCCCATGACCGGCAGCCCGGAGCTCTCGCTCTCCACTGCTTTTATTCCCCTCGGCGCGGCTTGGCTCCGCCCTAGCCGTGCCTCCCTTCTGGAACCCACCAGAGGGTTCCAGGGGTTTCCACACGAGGTCTACCGTGACCCTTGCCCCAGTTCCTCCGCCCTGCCGGCACACACGGCGTGTGCGCTAAGTGCCCAGTTGCAGCTGCTGTACAACAGCGCTATGTCACTACACAATTATGCTCGGTATATGTACATGTATAAAAGTGACACTGGTGGGTTCATCACTTGCATGGATCTTTTCAGGGCCATAAAAAAAACATTTCGTAATAGACAAAGATCAACTGCGCACAGGCTGAGAGCCAGTTCTCAACGCCCTGGTGAAACTCAAGTATCTCAGGGATGTCACTGAGTGGGTTCAGGGCTGTATCTAAGCAGCCTGGTAAACGGCAAACACCAATTTAGTTTGATTAAACATCTGACAGGTTGATTCATCAGGAATTAATTAATTATTTGGAAATTATGGACGAGAACAATAAATGTGGGTGCCCATCAAGCGTTAGGACCGAGTTATTTTATTTTTGCCTTTAGTCTTGGACATGCTAGCCGCATAAATGCAAAGGTAGGCCCCATAGTGTTTACGATTTGCAGGCAATGTGGTTCTATGCGAGACAGCAAGAGTCCTGTGGGAAGAGTGGACTGATAACCTGAAGGGAAATGGCTTGAAAGTAAATGGAATGTAGACAAAATACACGGTGGCAAAGTTCCGTCTCGCGGAACGTGAAGTGTTTACATGTGATTGTAATCAGCTGCAGAATGCAAATGTTTTAACTAGGATCAGTTATACAGGGCCGATGGTGAAATGGATAAGGAGATCAGGACAAAAACAAAAGCGTGGATGAAGTCGAGGAGTTCGTGGTGTGATGCGTGACAGGTGCCAGTCTGGCTTAAGGGGGCGACATCTCCAAAGCAGAGATAAAAAACGGTTATAAACTACAGAGAATCGTGATGGTGTATGAGGAATATGGAAGAGCAAACATTGAACTTTGCGGAGAAGATAATGCTGAGGATGGATGGCGGATGTATGAAGATGAAGGTGTGAAAGTGGCACCACTGCAGATACATTTATAGCGAGGAGGCACACATTGGAAAGGGAGTACTGTACAAAGCACGGTGTTAAAACAGAGGAGAGCAAGAGAAAATCCAGAAGGAAGGTAACATTGCTCGTGCAAACAGAGCTAGGGTGGCGCTGTATTCAACAGGTGTTGATGAACATTACTGATTGTGTGCTATGAGTATGGCCTTCTTGTGGTACATGATGTTTAGTATAGCCTGCATATTTGTTAAATGGAACTTATTTGTTATTTGTGTCCGTGTTGCAGCTTAATTTGTATTATGCTCTGCGTACGCACCCTTGCGAAATTATGACAATCGTGATACGTGGGCTTTCGCGACCAATGTTATGATTCGTAATTATTCACGTGAAAACGTTATTGATTGGTGGAAGACGGTGTGTGACACACATCTTACTTAAACATTTATTTTTTATAAAGATTATGGTTCATGTGGAGCATGTGTGTGTGTGATGTGTACGCTGCCCAAATGAGAGAGATTGATTTTCGTTGTTGGAGGGACACAATTGGAAACCCATCAGAGTATGTTTTCCTAGGGCTATACCATGATCAAAATAATCAAATCAATAAAACTATTCAACTTTGTATTTTATTTTTCCAGGTAAAACCCATTTAGCTACATAGCTCTTTATCAGAAGCGACCTGGCCACAAATAATACCTCAACGAAGTGGCTTATCACGTGGAAATTTGTAGCAGCCCAATACTCTAAACGCGTGATGTTGATTCTAAATGTGAAGAGAAAACCGGAGGACCCGGAGAAAAAAAATACAGGTGACCATGCACGGGGAGAACATGCAAACTACAAATATCACAGTCAGGGTCGGGATCGAACCCGCGATCTCATGTATACTAAGCAAGGTATCGATTTAAAGCTTTCGTGACTGCAGGGATGCATTTTCTTGGTTCTTTCGGTAAAGTCACGTAGAAGGAAAATAATAAAATAATAAAAAGAAAAGATCATAAAATAAAATTCTCACGACGTTTCGGCCACAACACGAGCAGCCGTCCTCAGGTGAAGAAACACCGCTCCGACAGCTCTGTTTCTTCACCTGAGGACGGCTGCTTGTGTTGTGGCCGAAACGTCGTGAGAATGTTATTTTATGATCTTTTCTTTGTATTATTTTATTATTTTCCTTCTACGTGACTTTACCGAAAGAACCAAGAAGACTAAGCAAGGTAGTTAACATCCCACCACCATGGCGAGTGAGTGCATAGGAAGACAGCTTATAATCCATGTATATTGCCTGCTTTGAACTTAGACCTGAAACATTGAACACTGATAAATAATAATGGACAGAGAACGCGTGCGCCACAAGACTTCACCAATCTGCACTGACCAGTGTGGGGAAGTATGGTCAAACAACACCCATGACTCGAATGAAACGGGGAGACCTTCATACACCAGTGAATTGACAAAGGTTAGTGTTGTAAATTAAACAGAAATAAAAAAATATATATCCCACATACCCGTATCTCTCAAGTGCATGGCCGCTTAATCTTGGCATTTCCAACGTTTGTAATTATAGAATCAAATCGTTGTCTTTGAAGACCCAAGTGTAGTAAGCAGTGCACGTCACCAAAATGTGAGTGGTCTCGCTGAGCAATAGGTTGAGGAAGAAGAGGTTGGTGATTCAATGAGTGGTCTCGCTGAGCAATAGGTTGAGGAAGGAGTTGGTGATTCAAGGTTTATGACCTGTACCCTTAAAGTGCTTCAACAGCAAAACAAAAACAAAAAATCCCAAACGTCAATGTGGATGATACACACTGGCACAACAGAAATGCTTTTTTGTGTTTAGTTTGTTGTCCTTCCCCTCCACACCTACAATTAGCACGGTTGGCTACGTACGGTGCGAAAGAAGTTCAACATACATACAACACGCGAAACCAACATACAGTACTTACACATCATACTTCCTGCATCGTGGGCTGTTGTGAGCAGCGTATGTACGTACTGCGTATGAGCCCGGCGGCTGGACTTGTCCAGACCAAGCCACCTTTTACATTTTCTCCCACTGCACAACAACGACGCTCATTCATTTATACAGGTGAAAGAGATGGATAGTGTGTGTTGTATATTTACGTGTGTAAAAAAAAAAGTATTCATCAATTTATGCTGGTCAAAAAGTTTTGAGAATAGTTT